TTATGGATATACCTCGATCAATAGTAAGAAAAATTTATGAATACCTATTTGATAGTTATCCTAAAAATAATAATTTTAGATAGGAAGAATGACAAGAATGCAAGGATTACATCCTTATCATTTTAAACGGGTGCAGCATGTAACGGATGCAGTTTTGCCAGTGGATATTAGCAAATGAAAACACTATTCTTAGAATATTATGGTCGGATGAGTCAATATTTAGTAGGAATGGTGCTTTTAATTTCAATAACATGCATCACTGGTCAGATGAAAATCCAAAAGTTGTTCGCCGTACAAATTTCCAACATAGATTTTCATTGAACTTATGGACAGGAGTAATTGGGGATCAAGTAATTGGGCTTATTGTACTTTCCAATCGTCTTAATTCAGAGGTGTATCTGAACTTTCTTCGGAATGAGCTCATATATAATTCCATTGGATGTGCGCCAGCAGTTTCAAGGAAATATGTTTTTTCAACATGATGGCGCACCTGCACATTTTGGACGCAATGTTATATTGGTTGAAAGAATCCATCAGGCTGCAAATGAAATAAGAAGAAAAAGGTTTTCCACTTTTCGGGCTACGCAATCATTAAGCTAGTTTTAAGTATATCCAAATGTATGTCTTCTTTTTTAAACAAATTTCAATTTCATTCGTAGAAAAAAAATATTTCTTTTGTTTTTGCCTAAATGTTAGCTATGTTTCCATAGAAATATGTATTTATGTAATATTTACCTATTATTAAATTAGTTTTTTCGTTACCATGGCTAATTATTCAACTATTCATTTAAATTCGCAGTACATTTCTTATCATGTGACAATTTTGTTAGTTTGATTTTATTCAAAAATGGCACAATTTATCGATATTCAATAAGAGTACCTTTTTTATGTAGAAAACCCTAAATTTTCAAATTCTAAAATTGAACTTCAAAAATAGAGTCACACTAAAAGTTTGGGGCTAAAATAACCTGAGTCCGTCCCTGTTACATACGCTTCCAAACAAGACTGTCTAAAATTATTAATATTTTTAAATCCAGCATAAAAAACTAGGCTAGAATACCAAATTTTATGCCTTTATCTCAACAAGTTTCGGAAATATTAAGGAAAAACCATCTTCAGGGGAGCCCCTTTAAAAGACCGTAGCGCCCTTAGGGGACGTTTGTCGCCCTATGTTTATATAAACTTTTCTTCCTATTTTAAGCTCTAGAAACCGCTGGTAGAATATTGCACACTTTTTTCGGAACACCCTGTATTTATTTTACTGTAGCACTGTGTTCTATCATTGTCTTGATTCTATCACAAAAACAAGACTCCAAAATACTTGTTGTCGATCTGTATTTAATCTCAAGAAGTATGATCATGTTTCCTTAAAGAGATTTCAGCTTGGTTGGAGGTGTATAGAAAGTGCATGTAAGTACCATAGGGCAGTGTTTACACATACGATCATATCTTCTCGCTGCCCCTTGTATCTTTATGAGAAATTTGTTTTCAGACGAAGTAATTCAGACATTGATTTCAGACACAAAAAAAGACTAGAGATACCTATGTATAAAACAACTTTATTTCGTAGTTCATACACTTACAATGCTATCATGATTTATAACTATTTAGATGACAAAATAAAGGATTGGCCAGTAAACAGATTTCGTAAGCATGTGAAACAGTTTTATTTGTCATTGTAGTAATTGTGGAAAAGTTAGTTTTCAATTACTATCATATCTTATGTTTTATTTTTCATATACGTATATATATGTATATGTGTATGTATGTCAGCCCGCTATCAAGTTCGTTTGTTTTGAGGCATCTTTAGCTGCTTGTCAAATTTTCGTTTGTTTAGGTGATTTTTCAATTCATTATTTAGGTAGGTTAAGTAGAGCAGCCAAGAGCTAGACTTCGCCTACGTAGAGGTCACATCATATTGTAGTTTTTATAATGTGCCTAATAAAGACATTTTATTATTATTAAAATTATATTAACGTAAATCTGGTAGTACCCTGTGGAAAAGCATGGGTTAGACTATATTTCACTATTTCCATGTCTGCTTTTAAAGCAAGTTATAGTTTTAGTCACCGTTCTCGGCGGGTCAAAGTAAGACTACCAGTATTCCTTTATATACGAGCCCCTTCCCACTTCAGTTGGCCCACTTCAAGATTTGTACCAAAATGTGCTTTTATAAACTAAACATGACGAAACTATTTACTTCTAAAACAATTTATTTTCTCAAAAATGTTTTAGATACACTCTAGTCGTAAAAAATACATATTTGAAATCACCTATAACTAATAGAACATCTGAACAAATAAACAATGTGCGAATAAATGCGCGAAGTTAACAAAGCAACAATTGAAAGATTACCATTGGGTAACATCATCTTTATGTTTTATTACGGCCGAAAGTATTTGGGGCATAGTGTTAACCAAGTTTTGGAAAAAATTTGGTGTAAAAAAATCCCATATTTCTTGAAGCTTTTGTCTCAGTTCGGTGTTTGTTCGAGCAGGATGTTGTCGTAGAACCTTTTTCATCTCGTGCCACAAAGTTCCAATAGGTGACAGATCTGGACTGCTAGAAACTCATTTCAAAAGTGGTACATTATTTTCTTCCATCCATTTTATAGCTTTTTTTGAGGTATGGCACGCAGCACCGTCTTGCTGAAACACAAAATCTTGGCCGGATGTCAAACATTCTTCCATCACTGGTAAAAGCGATTCTTCTAAAATTGCCAAATATTTGTTTGTATCCACATTTCCATCAATAAAATGAAGTTTTCCTACTCCTTTTAATGACATACTGCCCCAGACCATAATGGATGCTGGAAATTTCAATTTTCTCTTCAAACAGTCAACATGGAATGCTTCATTTTTTTTGCAAATAACTCTACTGCGACTGTCACCAACACAAACTTCGAATCGGGCCTCATCACTCCATTGTATTGCACACCATTGTTGACGTGTCCATTGTCTATGTCTTTAGCCCATCCAAGCCGATTTTTCTTTTGCAGTGGAGTTTATAGTGGCTTTTCTTTGGCCTATAAACAAGTTGTGCAACTGTAGGGTTTTTACTTCACTTTTTTATAAGAAAACTTACCTTGCAAGTGCTAAATCCCAGTTTGTGGGCCTCTCTGATGAGTTGTGGACCTCGAAATTCTCCTTCCAACAGCGTCACTCCACAGAGCACTTAATTGTAAATAATTGGCAAGCCTGTTTTTCACGATTATTCTTCTTAATTCTCTTCGGTCGGCATTTGTGATATTACTTTTTTCACATATCGTTGCTTAATATTAACTGAACCAGTTACGTTATATCTTCTAACAATATTTCTCACACTGTACCGCGATAAGTCTAACAAAGTTGCAATTTCTGAGTTTGACTTCCCGGAATTAAAAAGTTTAATTATCAGTAACCGAATTTTCTCACTAATAACCTCTCCTCTACCCATTTTGGAAACCTTAACTACCCAAAACTGTTTTAAACGTATTCTGACAGCTGTGATTAATAAAAACAATTGTCATGGCTTTTATTTTTCACAGCCACCTATGCGTTATAGACTTATTTTGCATTGAAATGAAAATAGGTTGATATGCTGTAATTGCAACATGTGTTACTTTTATGCTGCAAATTTGATTAAGGAGTGATAAAGTTGGTGTTTTCTACTATATATTATCAAAATATTCATTGTTAATATTTTAAACCTATAACACCCTGCTACATTTTTATTATTTGTGTTTGATAAGAAAAAAACTAAGATTTCAATAGTTGGGCCAACTGAAGTGGGAAGGGGCTCGTATCTCCATCTCTCTCATACATACACATGCAACCTGCCCCTGTGTGCGAACGTTTGTTCGGTAAGTTCAAAGACATACGTTTTTTAGTTGTGTGTCTCAGACATTGCCTTGCAATTTGAGTTGTCCTGTTATCAATATTCAATATATAATTGTATAATGCCCGAAAATACGATCAATGGAGAAGGGCGACAGCTCGTGTCAAATTTATTAGAGTATTTCCAGGAAGAGAATGAAAACAGCGGTCCCTTGTTACCCACTTCATGCGTACTGGAGAATGTAGCAGATGCGCTGGAGATTACTCTGCGCCCATGGTAGGGAGACTCGATCTGTTTACTTATTTCATATGACGTTGATGACGTAACCGCCAAGAACGGTGACTACAACTATAGACACTTTCGTCAGTTAATTGACAAAAATGCATATGGGTCACAATATACAGAATGATGGAATTCCGGCACCCACAATTAGCTACTTAGCGTGATTTACACATTTATTTTTTTGATAGCCATAATGAGAAAAAAATCATTAATGGCAGCAAGATAGAAAATCAACGCCAAAATTATCCATTGCCCTTTACGTAATGTTAGAGACAAACTTGAAAAATGAGTGATGAGCATTCTTAAAAAAAACTAGTAATGCCATCTGTTTTGTGCTATTTGGCAACCCCTCAGCATGGTGTGAGCTTGGTCTCTGGTGGGACAATGAACGAAAGCTGAGCAACTATCATGTTTTCATTTTAGCAGTGGTCAATTCTGGTAAGAGATGGCACTTAATGCTATCTTTTTTCGATGGGGATTCTTATGACGATAAAGTAGTGTTCAATGACACTTGACCAATTCACCAAAGAGCAATTCCTTTGTATAAATATGGCTAGTGATATCACAATTAGAGCTTTTATTTATTTGATACAGCTATCAATACAAATGTATGCTGCGTTTCCATTTCAAAAACACAGATTCGCATAAATGAGAGGATATACAGCTTGTTACTCTATCAGCATTTTTGTGCAGAACAGGCTATCAGTAAGCTCTCTCCTATATGAAAATGCTGAAAAAATACATAATTCGTTGATATCAACTGCATATGTACTGCATTATTAAAAGAAGAAAACTATATCTTTTTCCATTTAATTGAACATATGATAACTCTGCCATGTCACGATGATCACAATATTTACAAAGGCACCATATTTTGCAAACAAACAAATGAAAATACCAACCTGAAGATCGTGCTTTTTATCAGCACTGTCAAAGCCGTTCTTCATCTTACTGCTTAGCGGTTCTACGGCTATAATCTCTGTAGTAAGTCTTGGCAGTGGAAGCAACTGCCTGATATGCTGTAAGGAAGCACCTTGACGTTCACCGACTTCCTTTTTCAATTTCTTCAATAGGTTCGGGTACATTTTCTTGCTGTCATCCTAAAAACAAAAAAATCGTAACTTATGAACTCTAACTGACATAGTTTTCGTTCGTCCGAGCACAGACGGCCAATCATGAAGAGCTGTTTCGTGCTATTTGGCAACTCGAGAATCGTTTTGAAGAGTTTGAAGTTTCTCAAAGCAAATTTCATATTTTCTTCACCCGTTGTTACACGCGAATGAAATTTGATACAATAAATTATAAACTAAAAAAACATGCTTAAATAGCGAATCGAACTAAAAAGTAGAAAATAATTTCCAAGTATAGAAGAGTTTGCGCTACAGAAATGGAAAGATCAACAATCAAGTATGACTAATTTGGAATAAGATTAATGTAAGAGGTAAGATATTCACAAAAAATTCAATTACAGTAGAAAAGCGTAGGGTACTGAATGTAAATCAAATATTTTTTTTTTGTAGTTGCTATTTACAAAATTGGAAATATTATGTAAATTTAGTTAATTGTACCCCACGCTTTATTAAGATATGTAATTGAATTTCTTGTTCATATTTTTTGATATTGGTCTTATTCCAAATTAATTAGTGGTATCTGATTGTTGGACTTTCTATTGCAGTAGTATCCTCTTATAAAATTATTTTCTACTTTTTGGTTCGATTTGCTAATAACGCATTTTTTTTTCTTTAGTTTTTCAAACCATAATTTATTTTCTGAATTTTTAGACTCAAAACGAAAACAAAAGTACTTATAATCAAGAGCTGGATTTTTGGTATATTTTATATTTGACAATAAGTCTAAATGTACTTCATTCCTATTTATGTAACCTTTCCATTTCATATAATGCATCACTATTACATGTAACTTTCCCTAATAATTGAGTGACCTTCCGCAACATAAGCTTGTCCAGCAGCAAACGAGAACCTAGATATTTTCGAATTTCACAATTATTTTCTAAATTTTCAATTCCAAATTTCAAAATTATTTTTTTCAATTGTCAGATTGGATTTTTTTTTTTAAATTATTGTATTATCATCGGTCATTGACCCCTGTGCAAATCTTCAAGTTAATCAGACATCTTGATATTGGTAAAAATTATGTTGGAAGATACCGTTACATACATACAGATCAATCTAATAAAAGCATGTTAAAAGAAATGTAATGTTTCGAGAAGCCTTACTTGGAGTAGAACTTGTGACTTTTGATATCTCGCGTCAATTTCAGCGAAAAACTGACACCACATTCGTAATTTACATACCAGGTCTTCCCAAGAAACACATTTTAATCTCCATTGCAGACGCCCAACAATTTTCAAAAAAATGCATCTGAACTTTATTTATTTATTTCGACGGTAAACCATTTTTCGATAAAAAATTAAGAAATTTACATTTAACAGACATATATATTGATACAAAATAGCTTAACATGACAATTTTGAAATTCAGAATCACAATAAATGTAAGTCACAAATTAAAAATATTCCTCTCCCACTTGGTTCTAAAAACATTATAGGAAATCCCCAAAAAAAACCAGATCAGCATTATCATTTAAATAAGAGATGGGCCGATTCAGAGCACGATTTTGAGCATGTTTTGAGCTAAATCTATTACAGGACAACATGTTATTATGTCTCAAATTTCTGGTATTAACCAAAAAATGTATTCTTCCCAACTACTTGGGGGAATCAAATATATAATAATTTAAAAATAAAGCACATGCCCAAAAACATTCTTCTCTCTTAAACCAGAAACAATCCAGTTATTCTCTTCATGGACTCAATCTCTTGATGTTTATTTCCCTGTCCCATTCTTCTTGAAACATTAAATATAAGTTACAATATTAGACGAAAACAATATCTTAAATTTGTATTACCTAAATCAACACAATAATTTATAATGGTCTTAAAATGTACAGGTGTCTCCCTGAGCCTATCAAAATAATTAAGAATTTGAATATATTCCGCCTCGAACTTAAAAACTTATTAATATGTAAACCACATTATACCGCGAATCGTGGTGCTATCAATGGGTCGTTGTATGTTGAGATTATCATGAGTCATCATATAACTAACACCACTGTAATGCAAAGTATGTCAAATGAACCTATATCTTAAACACCATTAGAGAAACGCATGTTCTAGCCTAAGAAACAATCGACAGGCTCAAGGTCACACCTATTTCGAACAGTGGTTAACAAGATACAACGGACGCTATTGCAGTCGTCAACATCCATAGAGGATAGGGACTAGCTGCCATGATATCCCACATGTTTTCGAAAATGTCCGTCAGGAATTTGAACATCGCTATATCATTGTTTGGCCAATAACGGGCGACATTTTGAACACTTATTGAAATAAAAAGTGATATTTTCGTGTGTTTTTATTTTCTATCTGAACAAATTAAGATAAATAAAGATTTTTCTAATTTTCTCAAAAACGAATCGACTGAATTTAAAAAAATCAAACGTCAAAATAAAGTACTTCGAAAGACCTTTTTAAAACAAGCTATCACTCGATACCCCTTGTCATTTAAAATGTTCAATGGAATGACCCTGGGGGGCCGAGGGTGAAAGGGGGTGAAGTAGTTTTTGTTTAAAAAGTTGTCCCCCTTGACAAATCTTTTGACGTGTCTCAGCGTTTTTATTTTAATCAGTGGTTTTCGTTAAATCCATGGTGGGAAGTTGTAATTGTTATAGTTCAGTTCTAAATTAGCTTTGTCAGGAAGAATCATTGTATTTTTCAGACAATAAAACATGTTTATGTATCAAGGAACGAGCTATGGTCGGAATTGTTGGAATTACTGTAAATGTCAACAGTGGCTTGATGCTGTCCGTCGAGCGAACTGTTTTTTGGTAAAGCGGAAACGTCGGACCTCTTCTATATTAATATCAATAGTTCTTGAGTAACCTAGAATTTCAGGTAAGGATAAAGAGAAGAATACTTGATAGAAAAATACTTACTTGACTATCAGTAGCTTTGGCAGAGTGCACGAGAGTAGCAAGCATATCTACAACCACAGTGAAAAGATCACTGTGAGTGTGCAGATCAATAAGTCCATGCGTGACCAGTTGAACCAACAGCAAAGCCCAATCGGTTGTAGCGGATGGGTTGCGTTGAAAAGCGTCGAAAACGCCACCAACCAGGGCGAATCGCAACTGAAGACCGTCTAGGGTGCGTTCGTTGTCGAGGATCTCTTGGAGGTTGCCTTCTTTCGCCATTTGGACCAACTAGAAACAAAATAAAATATTATTACAACACAGGTCCAGAAAAAAGTGTATGCAAGGGTTACATATGAATAAGAAGTCGGAATTGGGGTCGATGGACAAATATAAAAGTAACTTGTAATCAAGATCAAATACAGGGTGCGGCAGCATAACTTCCTTTTTTTAAAATGGACGCAATTTAGTTGGTTGAACTCATAGCGGAGTGCTAGCGGTCTCGTTCGAGAGGCGAGACTATAAAGTTTTGTCCCGACACAGTTCAGTCGCGATCATGCGTTGGAACACCGAGAAGAGTGATTTTGCCGTTGAAGCCTACTTTTCGAGCGGATGTTCTGTGATCGCAACCCAGCGCCCCTTTCGGAATCACTTTTATTTAGCTCCGGACCGTAAATCAATTTTTACGTGGGCCACTACGTTCAAACAAATTGCAAGTATGACAAGACGAAGGACTCGAGTCCCTCGGCCCATTAGATCACCTGATAACATTGAGGCAGTGAGAGCTTCAATGTTGCGACCGATACGGCGTACTGCGCGCAAACATGGACTTTCCGTTAATTCTGCGGCGAGAATTCTTCACGATGATCTTCATTTCCATTCTAACAAGATGGCAATGGTTCAGGGACGTGACATCAACTCTCAGATGAATGTATGTGAACGTCTTTTCTAAGTCGTTCCTGTTTTTTTTTGTTTTTAGTGATAAAGCCTATTTTCATTTGTGAGTATCCCTCAACAAACAAAACATGCGCTACTGAGCTGACACCAATCCTCGAAGATTGCATCAAAGGCCTATGCATTCACCTAAAGTCACAGCGTGGTGTGCAACTTCGTCAGTTGGAATTATTGGTCCCTGGTTCTTTTAAGGAAAATGAAGTCGCAGTGTCAGTGAACTCGGACTGGTATGTAAATTTGTTACATGAGTGGGACTTAGGATGAATTTTGTTCCAACAAGATGATGCAACGGCACACTTTTCAAGAGCATCGATGGCTGTTTTGACGAAAACACATCCCAGAGCACCTCATCTAAATTAGGTGCGATTTGGAGTGGCAGGCCAGCTCTCCGAATTTGGACCCTTGTGATTTTTTTCTTTGAGGTTTTTTGAAATCTCGTGTTTATGTGAACCGTCCAAGGACCTTAAAATATTTGGAGGCCAATATTCAGGAAGAAATAACCAACATAACGCCTGCTATGCTGGCAAGAGTAATGACAAACGCCAGAAATCGGTTTACTCAATGTGTGGAGAATGGGGGACATCATCTATCTGATTTGAGCTTCAAAAGTATATAAAATACAGCTTTAGGTATGCGCCCACATTATAAAAAACAAATAAAAATGTTTTGACTTTACGATAGGGTACGGTCTTGGCTTCTGTTATTCTGAAAAAGACAACTTACCTGAGACAGCTGTTGCTGCAAAGAGGATAGTAATCCTTCTCGTTGTCCCTCCTCCTGTCCCTTAAGACACGTAAGCACCAATGAGAGGAAAGGCCTATGTGTAGCAGGTGCAGAGCCACCATCCCCTCCCAAACAGCTGCGCATTCTTATCTTGGGAGGCGGTTGCTGGGATTGTTGCTGTTGTTGATCGGAGCACCAGCCGCCGTTTTCCAGTACCTGCCCTGCTACTTTTAGTACTCGCCCTTGGACGGCGCTAGGAAGTTTCGACACCAAAGGGGCCACCTACCGAAAATAAGTAAGTAACTAGTAAATATATAGGGCATTTCTTAATGATATGCGAATATTTAGGGGTGTGACTCTAGATGAAAAATTACGAAAACTCGAGATGTTGAAGTTTTAGGAAAAAAAATGAAAATTAATTAATGTTTTCAGAACCGCCTCAGATATTTCACTGATATTTAGTACGTAGTGAAAGTTAATAAAGTTGCAAATTTTTCAATGCAAAAATAATTTTTAGCTTCAATGGTGGCGTGCGTGCGGGTATTGACCTCGATATTTTTTAAGAAAAAAATGGTACACCAATGGTTTTTTATCAAATAAAAATTATATTTGACTTCGTTCAATTTAAAACAAATGATCTCTGATTAGTTGCTTTTCTTCGATGCGCCATTTTCGACTAAAAAAATAAAAACCGTTCTATTGTCCGAGAAAATTAATGTAATAATTGAAGAATGCAATTTAGCAATGAATATCCAGTTGCTCTGGAATATGTCACTGGCCTCTGCACTTGTCGCCCAGTCGTATACTGGTGATCTGGTTCACGATGGGTTGCAGAATGCGGTGGACGAAGTTCTAGAGTGGGCGTAACGATGGCTGATAAAAATTAATCATTCGAAAACGCAGGCTATTTATTGTACCAAAAAAAGTCGCGGCCCCCCAGAAGAGGTTTCTGTAGGCGGAAATCGTGTACCATGGACAAATTCTGCCAAGTATCTCGGAGTCACCCTTGATAAAGGCGTGACCTGGCAGAAACATACAGCATCCATAAAAACAAAATTCCAAATTGCGTTTCGGCAACTATATCCTTTGTTATGCAGATCCTCCAAATTGAAGAGAAAAAAATGGTACTCCCATGGTTTTTTGCCAAATAAAAATTATTTTTGAATTTCCCGTTCAATTTAAAACAAATGATCTCTCTTGAGTAGCTTTCCTTGGATGAGTAAAAAAATAAAAACCGTTCTATTGCCTAACTTCTTCTAAACACATTAGGGGTAATGCACAACAACAACTGACAACATAAACATAACATTAATACCAACGAAATGATTACAAAAATTGTTGAAAATGGCCCCCTTCACTTAGTATGCATGCTTCCGCCCTCCTTCTATCTAATGGACTTACCCCCTGGAGTGTTTTTTATTCTATCACAAGCTGCAACTATTCTTTCTATCTTAATTCCCCTACAGTGTTAATGGGACTTGTGTACACTAGTGTCTTAAGATAGCCCCACAAAAAGAAATCTAAACTGTTAAGGTCTGGGGACCTTGGTGGCAATTCTTGGGGCCCACCGCGGCCAATCCAACGATTGGATAAACAGTTTGTAAATAATTACGAACCGCTATACTGAAATTCGCTGATGCACCATCATGCATCTTCCACATATTGTTTCTTATTACTAACGGAACATCATCAAGCAGCAAATGCGACTGTTGTTGAGCAAAATTGAGGTAAGTCCGCCCGTCAAGTCGTCCCGGCAAGAAGAATGGGCCAATAAAGTGGTTGCCAATAATTCCTGCCCATACGTTAACCGAAAATTGATGTTGGAAATGGGTTTCGGTTACGGCATAGGGATGTTCTTCTGCCCACAAATGATTATTGTGGCAATTCTGGATGGCATTTCAAGAAAAATTAGCTTCGTCCGTGAACAGAATCATTGTCCGAGAAAATTAATAATTGAAGAATGCAATTTAGCAATATATATATTTAGTTGCTCTGGAATTTAGCAATATATATATTTAGTTGCTCTGGAATATATCACTGGGTTTTGACATCTGACAAGTCTCTGCTATTCAAATCTGTTCACCGTGACATCTTTTTCATTATTTAGTTTTTACAATCTTGTAAATAATGGTGAATTATTCAAATGCGAAATGGCGGAAATGCATTACGTATATGGCCTTGCCGACGGTAATGGTGGGCAAGCCGACGGATTTATCACCAGAGATATCCCGATCGTGCTTTGCCAGATAGTCGAACATTTTCTAATATTCATCGTCGTCTTGTTGAAACTGGTTCTGTCCGAAAAGGAACATCTGAAGGTAGACCTCTGAGTGTGAGAACACCTGAAATACGAGAAGATCGCTAGACACTTAAATATTTGCCATCAAATTGTTTGGAGAATTTATGTGGATTTTTTTGTTATATCCTTACCTCAATTTTCTTCAACAACAGTTGCCTTTGCTGCGTGATAATGTTCAATTTGTAATAAGAAACAATATGTGGTACATGCATGATGGTGCACCAGCGCATTTCAGTGTAGCGGTTCGTAATTATTTACAAACTGTTTATCCAAATCGTTGGATTGGCCGCCATGTGCCCCAAGAATGGGCACCAAGTTCACCAGACCTCAACAGTTTAGATTTATTTTTGTGAGGCAATCTTAAGACGCTAGTGTACACAAGTCCCATTAACACTGTAGAGGAATTAAGAGAAAGAATAGTTGCGGCTTGTGATAGAATAAAAAACACTCCCGGGATATTTCAACGAGTGCGCAATTCCATGAGGAGGGCGGAAGCATGCATACTAAGTGAAGGGGGCCATTTTCAACAATTTTTGTAATCATTTCGTTGGTTTTAATATTAAGTTGATGTTGTCAGTTGTTGTTGTTCATTACCTCTAATGTGTGTAATTTTTCCAGTTAAATTAATAATAATTTTGCAAGTTAGAAAATAGAACGGTTTTAATTTTTTTACTCAAAAATGGCGCATCGAAAGAACGTAACTCAATAGAGGTTATTTGTTTTAAATTGAACGGGGAATCCAAAAATAATTTTTATTTAGGAAAATACCATTAGTGTACCATTTTTTTCTTAAAAAATATCGAAGTCAATACCCGGACGCATGCCACTGTTAAAGCTAAAAATTATTTTTGCATTGAAAAATATGGAACTTTATTAACTTTCACTACGTACTAAATATCAGTGAAATATCTGAAGCGGTTCTGAAAACATTAATTAATTTCCATTTTTCTCCTAAAACTTCAACAACCCGAGTTTTTGTAAGGAAACATTTTTGGTCCATAGTTTATAAAGCAAACTAACATTAATTTTTCATGTAGATTCACACCGTTAAATATTCGCATCATTAAGGAACACCCAGTATAAGATATTTAGAATTTAATGGAATTCACAGAAAATAATGTGTTCGACAGATTTCTTTGAGGTTGCTGTACCCTGAGTTTTTTATAGCCTGTGGATCAAATTCGATTACTAAGAAATCCACCATTTAGCCCGCGCATCTATGTTTGTCTCGGGGATCATAATTCACCAAACAGAAAGCATGTTTGAAGTAATAGATCTAATGAATATACTCGATTATATATACATATATCTCAAACTAGCGAAAAATTATACGATTTGTGTGAAATGGGCTTCTAATCTGCTTATTAAATCATGAAACTCCAAGAACCTTATATTTCATTTGATCCGAGGGCCAAAATTTGCGTTAAGCTATGATATACGCTGCGACCAAAATTTGTCCGACGGCTTGAATTCAATGTGTACGAGAGAGAAGTGTGTATAGACTCATATGTTAGAAAGAGATAGAAGCCGGCTGGATAGCGAAGTTCATCACGCGGCAATCTGTCGCGTTGCTAATATGTTACACCAGTTCCTTGAAATAAGATGCATGTCGAAAATATGCGTTAGTTTATTCCCTACGCCCAAACAATGGTTTTATTGTGAGGGTACATATTTTTGAATTATGAGTTGTGTCGAATCTGTTTGGGATTCTGGATCGGTCCTAACGGCGAAATGAAAGGTCAGGTCCGCCACAAATTCTGCAACATTTATTGGTTCGCTTGGTAATACCGTATCTCGCACATTCCACCTCATGATCATAGGTGAGCGATTCTGGTCAGTACCCATCTAGCGCTCATTGAGCAGTGTCGTCCTGCTGCGAAATGGTTTTCACCTGTGTACTCGCAGGCAGTGATAATTTGCATTGCGTAATGGTATTTGTTACATTTTTCAACCGCTTGCTGTCGCAAAAATGTAACAATAACTCAGGATGTGTTGATTTTATCACCATCGGTGGAAATCAAAGATAACTCTAGAATAAATTAAAACACTAAGTAGCATCGAAAAACAAAGTACTAAATCAAATGTCCTTCTTGGGTTTGGTAGAAACCTAAGCTATTGTAGAAGCATGTGCGAACATTTTCTGGTGTAACATATTGGTAACGCGAAAGATTGCACAACTTTCTGCGTCACCGTTGCTAGGCAATGTGGTGATGACCTTCGATCTTCAGCCGGCTTCTATCTCTTTCTAACATGAGTTGATACACACGTCTCGTGCTTCTCTCTCGTGCACATTGAATTCAGGCCGTCAAACAAATTTTGTTTTCCGTGTATATAACCCCGGCCAATGAAAATCACTACTCAAACCATGGACCAAATATTTATGACATTAACCGTTTTAATGAGAATAAATGTCGCTGCTTACCTAAAAGCGATCATTTTGTGAAAAAATAGGATTCATACAGAATAATAATTGTTGCGCAAATCGAATAATTTTTTGTTAGTTTGAGAGATATTTAGAGCAAATTCATTAGATCCATTACTTTCAAAACGCTCTCTGATTGGTCAATTTTGTAGTAAAATCGGACAGAAAGAAAACAACTAGAAATATGCGTTCTTTAATTTTACTTTGCACTATATGAGTTCGATATCTAGATAATGTGAACGGTTGAACTAAGACAAATGATGAGGATGTACAATTTTGGTAGTGAATTTTGATAATAGTGTAGAAAACACAAACAAAAATTTCGATTAGTATTTTGTTTGTTGAAGATTTATTTCTGATTAATGCTACAGCGTCAATTCTGTATAATCATCCTTTTACACATTTCCTAAATCACTTTTCTGTAATTTTGAATTCTTGTCTTTTAAAATCACATATCACTATGCATTTTGGCTATTCATAAAGTAATTTTTAATTTCACCTTAAACATTTTTAAATTCCAACACTGTGTAATACGATTATTCAATTTATTAAATTCAAATACACCCCTTTAAAACTTAGATTTGTTTGTTATGCTACTATTACAATTTTGAAGATGAAAATCTATACTGCCTCCAGTTTCGTAGTTATGATAATGCATTTTATGAAGTTTTCTAAATGTTGTGGTAATAAATGATTTTTCAATTTGAACATGAAAATGAGAACTAACATTGACTTGTTTTAGCATATTTGTTTTGATTAAAAACGATTCTGATTAAATATGATTCTTATAGCTTTATTTTGTAGTATTTGTAATTTTCATTTGCTGTAAACAAAATAGTTGAACAACATAAAAAATAGGGAAAAATCATGGTTTTTTTGATGTATACGGATATTATTGGAAATTCTATAGAAGTAATTTATCTTTTTTTGATATATCTGAAATAATGTCATAATGCTCTTGAAACAGTAATTTAATATTCACATATATACCCAAATATTTGAAAAATAGTGTCTTGACGTGACATGGCTTCATTCCAAACCTTTCGAGGATAAATAAATCAATTACGACACTAGAACTGTTGAAAATTTCGAATCGTGAAAGGGTGATGAAGACATTCAAAAGAAAAGGAAACTCACCAGCCATATTGAATTTTGTTTCTTCTCATTTTTCTTGTCGTCGTGTTTCGGCGAGGCGTAAGGAGCGTTCAGTTGAAACACGTCTATTGCAGCTTTAGCGACTGTATCTAACCACTGAGAAAGCTCTTGAGAGTTTGGACTCAGCTGTCTGAACATCAAGTTGAGGTCTAACCAAGACATTCGTAATGTCCACATGTCAAGATTCTGAAAGAGAATTATAGAATTCGTAAAATACACAACACTACATATTCCAAATTAATTTGCAATAATTAAATCAACCATCGAGTCCGAATGTTTCATCTATCAGAAATAGAGCATTTGGAAGCTGTGAGAAACAAATGTTGTTGACATATTAGTAAGAACAAATCGCCGTCGATGTGAAATGAATATAAGACTGTCTAACCTTTACTTTATCTTTTTTTTTATAAATTATTAATTTTGTATTACAATTGGATTAGTACTAGTACATATAAAATGAAACTTCAAAGTTTATGCAGTATGTTATTACCAGCATTACACAGCCGGGTACCATAGGTAGGATGAATGGCTTGATGATAACTGCTTAATGTGGACTTCCCATCTTCGTTTTTCCAAATCATACAAATCAACCACCATTCAGGCTGATACCAAGTAAGAAAATTACCTCCAATATCCTGTTGATCATAGCCTTCTGATCCAATCCATCAATTCCCGCTGCAGCGTCCGGGTAGCAGATCATTCGGAGTAATCTCTGAGCCTGTGAATGCGATAAAAGCGGGTCCAAGAGGTTGTCCATGTCGCACAGTTCTTCCAAGTGGCACAGACACGTTTCCAGAACCCATTGTTGAGAACATATCTCTCGCAGCACGTGGTTTGCGAAGGCCGATAAAGTTGCGGTACTTTCTGCGTTGCCTGTACTAGATTGCCTATAAATGTACCATATATTGGAATAAAGTCACATCTGAAACTTATCCTTGTCTGTGTTAAGCAGTAAAAACACTTTACATGTCCCTTAAGTTACTGACATGTGAGCTTGAAATCGAATGATAACAGTGGCTGTATACAAATTCACGGTCATGTCTTAGTTTGTTATTGCAGCTTCAATCCTGTCATTTATTAGATATTCTCAAAGAAGGTGGCCAAATCTATGCTGCTATGAACGTTCACATACAATTTCCATCATCACAGTCATGTCGCCAAGCAGGATCGCCGTAATTCTAAGTTTTAAGGACAGTATTTTCATTTTAAATAGAAATGATCATACATAATTTGTGGCAACAGTGCAGGAGTTGGCAACGCTGGCGTCTAAAAACGCTGATCGACAAAGGATCAGTTGTAAGCGAAGTGGCTGAGAAGACGGAAGTCGGCATGTTTTCCGGCAGGCCGAAGCTAACTTCATTGGCTGTTAGGGTTGGAAATGCTGGGATTCGAAGCAAAAATGCGATTAAATATCTAGGACTGTCGCTAGACAAAGCACACATAAGGCGAACCACTGATAAGGTGAACAAAGGAGTTGTTTTGCATTTTTGAAGAAGAATGCTCAGAAGCCAGATAGGTCGTACTGCGCGAGATCTGCGCTTATACGAGTAAAGCTGTATTTACAGATACATTGCTAGTGGTGACTGGTATCTCGCCGATTGAACTGCTGTTGTTCTATAAGAAGTAAGCTGGGGTTTTCACCTATTTGCCTTCTATGTATACAGCCTCTGTAAAATGGTATGTCCTAAAAAGTTTGCTCTTCAGTTTAAAAAACCCGACACTAGTCTATATGAGGGGTGTATAATACACAGGGTGTATCCAGAAGTCTTTGATAGCTGTACAACAGATGTGCAACTGAAAATCAATGCATAACTAAATACATTATTTTGTAAATGTTAGTTTAATCGGTAGCTTTCCCGAATATTACAGTAAAAAACAAATATTACAAAATGTTGCATTAAGTACAAACTTTGATTTCAAGAGTATTAATTACACGATATGTTGTTTTATAAACAGGCTTAAGTTGACGTTTTACCAATGAATATGGTTGTGAGCGAAAATTATTAGCTGTTCAAGTTTGCAAATGAAAATCATTAGTATCAGTAGCAACATCGTAACACATGAAAAATGAAATTGTTTCGTGTATTTTAGTGGTTTTGCATAGTTAACAAATCATTCAAAATGTACATAACTTAATATTGCTAACTATGCAAAAAATGTACTCGATTAGCGAATGTTGCATTAATGTAAATGCGTATTATTTACAATTTCAGTAGGGTAAAAACATAAAAAGAAACCCAAAAGAACAACCTAAAGACAAACAGATGTGCAAGCATAATACCCTAGTCAGCAAGTGAGGTTGGTTCAGGAAAGGTCGTGGAGAATATACATATTTTTTGTCTTTTAATTCCGAAAGAAAGGTTAAAAAACCATTGATGCTTGTCGGGTTTTTTAATTGCGAAGATATTTCTCTGATAAATTTCAATTGCTGTATTTCCAAATTTGGACAGAATTTTAAGATGCTTTTTTGTTTTGCTGTACACTATATGATATTCAAACATAGCTGGAAACTTTTCTGTTTTATTTTATCGACAATAGGCTAGTTGACACTTTAAGTAGGTCTTAAACAGTTAATATTTGTTCTATTAGACCAAACAAAATTCATACTATATATTTTCAGACCTAAAAGACCATAAAACTTTAATTTAAAAATATATTTTTCTTAAACAAGTGAAAAGGCTGTCCGCCATGTTCGGCCCATTTATTAATGCGCTCCGGCGTCATATCATTTGTAAACAGCAGCTGTTAGCACCAAACTTTTTAAGATATAAACATGACTTCTACTAGTTTAGATGAAAAATATAGTAATTATCGTTATTACATCGTCCGATAGAGTAAAAACACATCGATAAAGACCCAAACAAAGTATAAGAGTGCATAGGGAAATAAATATAAGCAACACTGTGTATTGCTTGGAGCGTACCTTATGTCCTGGCCGTACTTTACATTTTCCTGTGCAGATCTTATCGTCTCGTTTAAGTTGGACGTAACCTAAGATTCCCTACAGATGTGTAATATCCGAAACTACCGCAAAAGTGATAACATATCCAAAAAATTATGTCCGCAGGCGTAATGGTGTAATAAAGGCTTGCGAATATTGTTGCAAGAGTTTGGCTTTCCGGAAACCAGCCGTTTTTTTTGTAAAACAGCGAAAAACCCAAAAAACCTCTTTTTCGCTGAAACGGCTGAGGATATCTGGGATTTTTTTACACGTAAATTTTTCTAATTTTTGAGACATCAAAATAGGTCTCTGAATTTTTTTTATAAATTGCTTAGTTTTCGCACTACAGCTTGCTGATTGCTTGTGGCGAGGGGCTTGCGGGTTGCGAGGTCAAGGACGTACACATATCACCAGCCGCCGCACCGTTGACGCGGACGAATATTTGGACGTCCTCAGTGACTCACTCTCTTGTAGTTGTGGCGTTCACCGACGTATGCATATTAATGAATTTTTGAAATGTATGCGTTTAAGTAGAGTACAAGATGCAGTAATTTCTCTTCAGCTGCTTAGCGATTGACTGGATAAGTGAGGTATAGTATTTTCATTTAGAATTGGAACAACGACAAAAAACCTTGAGCTGCAAAAAAGGCGTGAACGTGTATATAAATAAGTGGCAATGATAAGAATACATTACAGGATGTCGAAGCCCAATGAGTCATCAAAAGACTCGTTTTCGAGGCTCCATGTTAGTTTCATAATCATCCTCGCAAATCAGTTTGATCTCCTGTAGTTCTTGATCTACGACCATGATAAGAGATTCAGCAGTTCTTGAGCCGCGTCTATACGGTGGGCTAACATACGCCAACGCAAATATGTAAAGAATAGACAATGGCCGATTATGTGAGCATTCGACGATGTCTTCTCTGCACACTCGCTAGGGAAACCAATAATAATGCTCATTGGTCTAGTCCTAGTCTCAATGTATCGGTGTACGTTAGCTTGACGTGTAGACACGGCAGTATGCTATGATGTACAACTTATCTGCTCAGGACTTCACACCATAGACGGCAGGGCTGTCAGGCGTGGCGATTTTTCGCCAAACTAGCGATTTGACAACTTCAATTGATAGCTTGGCGATTGGCTACTTTAGTGGCGCCCAGTATCCAGCAAATTGGCGAAATCTGTCTATTTTGAGCATTCCTGACGCCACTTAATTTGCAATCTATTTTTGCCGATATAATAATAATAAATCGTCTTTATTTAGGGGGCGAAGTTTAGCATAACGCTACTCTACCACTTAACCCCCCCCCCAAAAAAAAAGAAAAACTGAAAAACAGTACATTTGATAGGTTTCAAGTTTAAAAATGTAGGTGCATAAAAAATATGATGTATATAACATATATAAGTGAAGGCTATTCAATATTTCATGAGTTAAAAGTATAAAATTATAACAGTTACACAAACAAAGGAATGCTATTTTGGAAATATTTTTGTGTGAGGTTTCAGATAAATTTTATCAACTAATTTATATACTTCTATGTATTCAAAAATCATTTCTTCATATGTATTTTAAATTCATCATATGATAGTAATTTTGTGGATCGAGGTATAGCATTGTAAAAACTAATTGTATAGATTAATGGAACATGAAACGAGGACCACCGGGAGTTCTGTGCTGTAAGCACAATGGATTCACCCCATGTGAATGAACTTATAGTTTCGTTCAGATTACTCGTGTCTAACAACCCATCCTCCCCCTCTCCATTTTCAAGGAATTGTTCATTATCATATAAATTATTATTATACTTAGTCTCCCTCACCGCAATTCAGTTAACAGTCCCCCCCCCCCACACACACACACAAATTCATTCTAATATCTAACCTGGCGGTTTATGATTGACTCATAAATATTTCAAAGATTGCGATTTCTGTCGATTTTCTCATCAAATCTTTGCCACCAACGTGACTGAAAACCTAGCAACCCTGGTGGACGGTGCGGTGACAGTTTGGTGGTATGCAGGAATGCAGGTGCGCGCGACCTTTCCCGCAAGCCCCTCACCATCAAACCATCAGCAAGCTGAAGCGCGAAAACTACGCATTTTAGCAAAAATTTTCAAAGACCTTTTTTGATGGACCAAAAATTAGAAAAATTTACGTGTAAAAAATCCTATATATCTACTAGATACTTCCGGAAAACCAAATTCATACAACAAGATTCGCAATCCTTTATTACACCATTACGCCAGCGGAAATAACTTTTGTCTCAGTTTCGGCTATTTAACTGGACTATAAAACGAAATACATAATTGGATACAACTATTCAGACGTGAAACACATGAGCTTAGTTTTAAATGACTTTTGAACAGGATGAATATGTAAGTGTATTACTTATTCTTTATTTTTATGTCTGATATTATATCAGATGCACTGTACTTACATAGTAGAAGTCTTGACATGCCTCAGTTCAGCAGAGCACAAATCTGTGTTGAAGGCAAAAAAAATTCCAATTTTTGGCAAATTTATGTTTCTGTTTTTACGAATCCAACGTCCATGTATGTTGTTTTTTTTTCAGTAAAACGTGAAAACGATAACTGTTGACGTTGATTAGAGTCGTTACTCCACAAGTGATATACGCATGACTTTTCTTTGTTTACAATTTGTATGACGTCAGATCATGGCCGATAGTGTTTTCATCGTTACATATTAAAAATGTTTTTTTTTTTTAAATTGAACTTTAATATATATATATATATATATATATGTTGCACTTTATAAAACTAAAACGGTATATTTCGTTTTCCTAAGCCAAATACTGTAAAAAATATTCATTTATTCTCTGAAATTAGATATGGGTCAAGGAGCCTATTTAACAAAATTCGTAGTAAAACAAATGTGAAGTTAGTTCGACACGACCCTTGGCATGGTCTACTGACTAGGATATAGGGTGAAAACACAGTCAAAGCGAAAAAGCCCGTGAATAAACTTTTTAAATAGGGTTCTGACAAACCTATGTGTCGTCCTTGAGCCGCACACATCCGCGTTTGTCCTGGATGGAAAAAGAAATCGTTGCAAAATTCAACTTAAAAAAATCATAAGCATTAAAGAACATAATATGTTTATTCTTAATTCTAAAATGTTCAGCATATGCGCTCAAACAATACTTCCAATAGTGAAATTCACGAACTGTTGAAGGTAATAGCATGCAAAACAAGACTGTTTATGTGAAAAAAATACAAAAGCTATAGAATACAGGGAAACAGTAACTGCTTAAAAGTTCTATATCTTTGATCTACCCAAATTGTGATTCCAGAATTTTTGAAGCGCTGAAAGAAACGCAGTTTTTTGTTGATTTGCATAATGAGCATAATGTCGACGACATATTCAATATAATAAAGGATCCATTATGACCGAAATGTTTAGATTACGAACATTATAGAAGTTTAAATTATGTTAAAGCATTTCTCAATATTACTGAGCTCAGCTTGAACAATAAATAGAATTGCGCATATGTTGATAAAAAATGAAAAAAAAAAACGCTTCAACTCACGGTAAGTCCAAATTAGGCCCATCAGCGCCGGTATGTAGATCGCTAGTGCCCAAAATGTTGCTAAGGCTCAATTCTGCACCCTCTTTCGCTGTTGCGTCTCCCACTATTAACACTGCTTTTAGTACAGCCAAAACTGGACCCAGGTGGATGTTTCTGTGAGCTGCCGCCAGCAGATGCCTGTCACAACTGAAAACAAAATGGCGTCAAGTAGACTGACTCTCTTTTCACAAAAAATAATCCTCAGATTGAAGCAATGATCATACACGGGAGCCTTATTCTTTGGAGCTATGGTGTGACAGTACATATCCACAATGTTTGATGAGTGATTATAATAAATCTCGATAAATAGTTAGATAATATTGATAAATAGTTATATAACATACTATATAATATTTCGTCACGAAATCAAATATCATTGAATTATACTCCAAGCCTAACGCTCATCTACACAGACATGGTGGCACTACGCATTCATAAATTAATAAAAGGGGCGTTACTATGTCTTGCTATCACTACGTAGAATAACGCTGTTCGTCACTCAGTCTAAGAAAAAAATTGAAATATGTAGTAATGGGGACTAATATCATCACAGGGTGTAGATTTTTCCGATTTTTTGAAGGCCTATAATTTGAAAAGTACAAGATTTTTTCATATTTTCCTGATAACTATTATGATTTGGCCTATCCCACGTTTCCGGCTTGACGTCGACTCCTGGGACACCCTTTAAATATAAACAATATCGCGCCCACATCGTAGGTCGCCTGGATCGAATACAAAAAATGTAAATAAACCCGTTGCGCACGGCATATGCGACCAATAGGTGCCAAAAACGTTTTTCAAATGCAAATGCATAAGGAATCTGCAGTCTGTGAAATATGTATAATGGATGCGTGGAATTACTTTGGTTCTAATTGTATTATTCTACTAACTTCAAAAAAAAGTGATGGTTTTTCATCATATAACATCAAAAAAAACATATCTCATTTTCTGAATTTTTTGCGATTACAATCACTTGTTAAATCTACAATTATACGTTGCCCAGCATCTGCATCACATGGCTTGGATTTACTAGTTCTAAGTTATTTATAATAATTATTCTGTTTATGTAACCAAATGTGTTAAATAAATATTTCTAGTACAAATAATACTTCCTCGCCAGTATTGCGCTGGAAGTAAATAGAAAAATGATACGCAATTAGATCAAAATGACTTCTGGTATTCTAAGTGTAAGTTTTGACTACTGAGCCATGGTAAAAATATACTACCAATGACTGAAAGTGCATAAAAAAAAATAAAAAATGGCGTACCTAAGTCTAACGCCTAGAGGAGGTCTTGGCGTGGTAATAGAAGGAGATCCGACAGAGTACAGTCCCGGTTGAGGCCCTTCAGCAGTCCTAAATAGTCTCAGCAATAAATGACATGTAAGGCGCATCCCACCTTCCGCCCGTGCTTCACCATTATCCAAAGATTTCACCTGCAACACAAAAAACCATTCTAGCTACCTGATTTGACCAATGAACACCAAGCTCTCCCCTTTATTGAATACAATCTAAGGGCTATAAGAGAAATCATCTTTTTTTACGTACCTTTAACAAACTAGGTAGAGCTACTCTACCTACAAAATCTTCCAAGGAAAAACAATGTCTAGCTATAAGGATGCATGTAAATACTGCCAAAGCGTTGTGAATACTGGGATCCTAAAATAAAATGAGATTCTCAAAAATGGCGTCAAGTAGAATGATTCGGAATTTGAATAAATGAGCAACATTAAAAATATAAAGTAGACGTTCAACAAACCTGTATATCTAGCTGATTCAGAACATCAGAGTAATAACCAGGGTGTGATAGGGGACAACAAAGCGCCAACAATACTCCCAGCCATTCAGAAGCCAAGGAGTTACAACACGCTGTCATCTCAGCACACATTATCGCTATATCATTCAGTCTTTCATTGTCAGTTTCTCTGCATACTTGGATCACAGCATTACTGACAAACGAGTATCTGCAAAATGGTTTATTAAAGAAGATTAAGCATTATTCCTAACAATGCTCAAAAACTCAATTTTATAATGAAATTTTTCTGACACGGTTAAATTACCTGTTATTTCCATTTTCGTTCAACTGTTTGGCAGTGGCGCTGTCTATCCTTCCAGCTCTCTTAGGGTTCAAAAATAGTTCCTGCATATACTGAGCATTATACACGTACATGTTTGGCGTTGGTTGCAATGCCGTATATAAAGCTTGCTTAATTTTGGGATACGCGTTTCCTAAAAAAAATTACAGAATATCCCTGAATGCAAAAATCATGAGGATATCCAAAATGTGATCAATCCACGTTTGCCACCCTTTGCAGTGAAAAAACCGTACCCTTACAGAGAACCGGGAACTTTTCGGGAATAGCTATCAAAGGAACTAAGGCTCCCGTGATTTTCAGGACTTTGGGGTCAAATTCAGTTTTGTTGTTAAGTTAAAACAGACTGTTGTGAGATCGATCCAATTCTAAATGGATTTTTAGCCTCGTTAGTTTGTTTTATATTTATTATAAAAAACGATATTCAGCCATGAACCAGTCCACGACAAACTAGTAAAAAGAGAGCCCCCACAAAATACGCAAAAGAAAACAACGAGAATTGGAATTTTAAACATAATTTCAATTAACATTTTGATTAAGAAAGTTATTTATACTTGATCCCGAAAGTGACGAATATGCCGGCAGGGATATTACGTAAGAAACCTATAAAACGTCAAAAAAAAAGACAAGACGTCAACTTGCTGCCTAGATCGTTCCTAGTGAACAAATAGTAAATTCCGTGTTTGCTCGCTATGAGTGTTATGCTGCAAGCTGGTTTGTTGGTTGCAGAATGCTGAGGTAGTCTGTAGAGTATACCCTGACATGTGTGGCTGAGTAGCAGAGTAGCAAGATCACATTTGGATGATTGTGTGTATTGGTCTTGCATGTGTATAAAATCAGTGATATTTGCTATGTGAGAAAATTATTACTGAATATGCTGCTCATAAAATATATCCATTAGCTGTTAGGGTTATGGTTATTTGTATTGTCCTTTCTGGAGAGAAGAAGAGTTACGTTCAAAGTTATATATTATAATTTTCAACGTTTTTTGCGTTTTCAAAAACTCTAGGAAGAATTACGGGAAATCAGCTCCGCACCCCCATTGTGTGTAATTAAGCCACATCACAGAAAAATTAGGAATGACGCATCACATACAAAACATTTTCGCACTGCCTGATTTGTATTTTCTACTTGACATCGTAAAATACATTTCTATAACATTTGAATGACTGGAAACCAAAATTAATGTAAAATGTAATAACTTTTTTACGTTTCAAACCAAATTTACATATGTAATTTACAAGGTGAATAAGAAAAAGCGGATCCGCAACTAATTTTTAGCTTTGCATGCATATCTAATAACGAGTATTTGAGACAAGAAATCAATGGAATTATCATCGACACAGATTATTAGCACACTCACACTCACTATGCACCTACGCACTGTCGTTTCCTTCGAGCTATAGTATATAACTTACAGCTTAGATCTCCAATAATGTCATCTCTGAAGCAGATCACATCAGAGCCAAACATTGATCGCTGAAGCATCATGACGTTTAATCAACACGTACAACTACGGAACGAGTACACATCAAGTGTACAACAGGTAGAGAGACATCTTGTAGAAACGCCTACATAATGTCACAAAAACCCTATATAATGTCCAAAAACCGACATAATGTCAGTACCCCTGCGGAATGAACTAGCGGCACGCTAGTGGCTATCAAGTGCACAAATCGACATTTTGCGTTTTTTTTAAGTAATAACCTTGCGGATCTGCTTCGTATAAGTAGAAATGTCTTTTTTAATGTGTAATATTGAATATTGAACCATTCGATTTTTATCTATTTGCAATCTGATTCTATGTTCATTAGTTAGTCTTCGGAATGAAGATTGTAATCTGACTTGACCTAGACAGAAAACTTACCGAACGGTTCAACAGTATGTGGTTTAGACTTGAGCAGACTACATGACGAATACAGGTCATACAGATGCGCCAATATGCACCTTTCTGCAGAACTACAATCTCCTGGATTAGTCACATGCTTTACCACCTTGCATAGACCTTCGAAAACAGCTGTTGTTTGTTCTGGTGACACTGAAACAATATTTTGATTTTATCGTCACAAAACTTCTGGGTGTGTTTTCGCATTTTTAGAGGAGTTTTGGCGTTCGTGGAACGATGGACAAGGGTGACGAGTCTGGTAAATTCAAAAAACGACAGATAACCCCATGCTCGCTTATGGGTTTGGGAGGCTGAATACCATTTTAGGAGTGGGAATGCTTACGCGAAGTGAATAGAACCGTTCAGCCATTGTACAGGAATGTGAATAAGAAAGATGGCGTCAAGTGACTTGACTTTCCACTTTCCAAGCAACGCCGTTATCAATTCAAAAAGGATTATGTTAAGCATAACCTAGAACCTCTGAGAAAAAAGTCAGACAAACAGGTCGATACAATTAGTACACATGCATTATTTCCCTGTCCTGCTTGTTGTGCATCTGGAACCGTCGCCTCTCCTCGAAACTTGACTCGGTCAGAAGTGGCAGAGCATAGGAAACACTATGCTGTGACGTGGCAGAAATACGTGTGATACCATACCAGAACAACAGGCCGGTCGGTAGGTACGCGATGCATGTGACGAGAATATTTTTCCAAGTTTTAAGGGCTAATGTACAGAGGACATAATGTGCGTAGAATTACATACAAATGTTGGCATCGTATAAATGCACGAACATAAAAAAATTGAGATTAACCCTGCCCACCCTTCTGAAACCCCACCCCCCAGGTTTATTTACCTCTAAAATGTTCAGGATCATATGGAACGCCAAAAACCAAAGTTTGAGCGATTTTTACTTCTTTTCGTTTTAGGCCTTTATCTCTGCCGCCACTAGACCGATTTTCAGAAACGCTTCCCTGGTATAGTAGTAACATTGTGTACAAATTTCATCGAAATTCGAGCGGTGCTTCTTAAGTTATCGGCGGTTATAAGATTAGCGGTCAGACCGATAGACACATGGAAATGAGTGACATGATTTTTTGAGATGTACATGTCTCACATAACATCCAAAAATCAATATCTCATTTTCGAAAATTTTCTCGATTACAATACTTCTCCTCGTATAGGCGAGGATGAAAAAAGAAACGAATTGTCACCTGGAAGACAGAAAACAAAATATACTGTCACAGAATTGTCAATTGTACTGAAAAAGACCATAGTGGTGGTCAAAACGTCGTACAATAAATAAAAATCTAAACATATAAGTGGTTTTGATAAGTTTCTGAAGTTACACAAAAAATCTACTCACGTAATAGGCAACAATGGTATCTCCTCAAAACTCCCACAACATACAAACTCAACGACGTCGTATAGTTCCTACTCAGTATAGAATTTTTGTTGTACAGTTGAGTCTCCACTTCAGGTAATTCTTTCAAGATCTGAATACAGACGTCTATCAATCCGTAAATGTTCAAAGCTAACTCCATGAGATCAAAAAGGAAAGCGACGTGTTCCTGCACAGGCAAATAGTTCGAATTGCCTGTAGCAAAGGAATTCAACATTTCTATGACGGTAACACTGCACTGATATGTGACGACGTGTTGATCGAAATAGCTCAAACTTTGGCATTTTTGAGTCGTGGCCTCGAAGTTGAACTCGTTTCTGGAATGTTTTTTGACTTTACCACCTTCTGCAACGTCTATACTGAATTTCTTTGAAAACAGTTTGCAGATTTCCTTCCACATCTTCTTCACGGTATGCCTGTAAAAAAACGGTATATAGAAGCATTGATTAACGTATTTTACCTGAGGATAACTAATGATACACTGGATCACGGCGTCAAAAAATTTGTAAGCGAATAATTATACAAAATTGACATTTTACGAGGGTTGTAAATTAAGTGATGGGACTGATTTTTTATTTAAGCCTCACCCTCAAAATAACTTCCATCTGAAGCCACTCAGCGCTGGAGATGGTCCTTGCACTCATCATAGCAGTGTTGGAATTCCAATACTGGAATAGCCTTCAGCTGGTTGGTTACAGCCGCTTGAATATTTTCGACCATCCCAAAATGAATTCCCTTGAGGTGATTTTTCAACTTCGGGGAGAGAAAAAAGTCACGAGGACTCAAGTCTGACAAATAAGGAGGCTGGGGAGCCACATGAATGTTTTACTGGCCAAAAACTCGTTTATTCACATTGCTGTGTGACAAGGACTAGTATGCAAATAGTTCATTCCGCGCTTTCTACAAGTGGGCATGAAGTGAACGACAGCTAGTCTTCTTGGAAAACTTACATAATGTCAAAAAAACCGTCATGTCTCTTTTAAAGTTACTTAATACCCCACCGGATTCTGTCGATATTTTCATCGGTTCTTGAAGATAAAGGCCTTCCGCTTCGTGGTTCATATTCAATCGACTCCCACCTTTATGAAAATGCCTTAAACCACCGATAAATCTGGGCTCTTGACAAAACACCATCTCCATAGGCCTGTTTAGCACAGTGTCCAAGTCTGAAGCAAAATCTGATAGCACAACGTTGCTCGAAATTGATGTCACTCATTTTTAGAACACAATAGAAAAAACGGTTTTACAAAAAAAAACGTTACGGACAACCAAATGACCCAAGCATGTTCAAACTTATTTTGAAGGCGGATCATATGTTCCCCTCTCTCCCCTACAAGCCTGGCGCCTCCAGTGTTGCCAGATCGAAAGCTATGCCGCCAGTCTCATCACTTAATTTACAGAACTCGTAGTATCAATGCTAAATAAATCTTCAACAAACAAACTATGAGACAGTAGCACTTTGAAATGAGTTCGAGTTAGTAGACAATTTGAGAGCTAAGAAAAATGAGAGTCGGCTAAGTTCCAGCACGCATCTCATCCATTCCGAGGAGCCGACCAAACTAATTAGTCTACAGCACCAGCTGCCTACCAACTTTTAGGATCGCCCGGAATAGGCAAATTCAATCATACCTACGCCACTGCTCCTTTGTTCTCTCGAGCTACCTGGGTGTCCCATCTGGCGGCGTTCAAGTGAAATAACCAAATTGGTAAGATATCTTCAATAGCTTTCTAGTTGCAGCACTCTGCCTCGTGGTTCACACCACGGTACCACCGTGCAAGGACAGTAACCTGTATACGATTATTCGGATGAGCGCATCCGCAACAGCGAATATGTTTAGTAAACAGCAACTTGCGAGATAGGAAAAATGGGTGGGGGATTTGAACCCGCATATTCTCCATTCCATGGAGCCGACCTAACTAATTAGTCTACAGCACCAGCTGCCAACCAACTTTCAGGATGGACGGTTAGAGGCAAATTCAAGTTTACCCTCGGTACTGCTCCTTTGTTCTCTGCCTCGGTGTCCCATCTCGCGTGGTTCAAGTGAAACAACCGGTTTCGTAAAATAAAGTCTCCAGGGAATAGGGGAGATGGCGGTGCGAATCCCGGTGGCGCACATTTTTCATATCTCTCAAGTTATTGTTCACTAAACATACTCGTCGTTGCAAATATAGAGAATCGTATACATTAGTTGGAATGTTTGATTCACATACTGTCTCATAAATAGCGCAAAAATCTTCACTCCCTTTTGGTGCCTCTCTAATGCATATTTTAATTGGGTATATTCAGGTAGACTGCGTTAATCAATGCCTGAAGATACCCAATTAAAATATGCACTACTGACGCGCCAAAAACGATCTATGAGACAGTAGCAGAACACTATGACTTTTTTATATCAGATTTCTAAATTCATTTTTGAGTCCTGCTACTGTCTGATGGATGGCGCTAGTATTTTTCTTATCTCTTTTTGTGCCTATCAATGTCTCACAACGTGTGATAACTCATAAATATTCAACGTAATTTAGCTATATATTAGACATGCAGCTTCGAGAAACACAAATTCATAGTTTTATTTGAAAGATTTCATATATAATTAGTAAGCTCACCTAGCTTCATCTCTAATTTTTCCAACCCCATACAACAATACATGTCTTTGGTTGCAATCATGCTGTGAAAATGGATCATCTTGACTCAAAGGAAAATGAGTCGTGTATAGTAGATGCCTAGATGGTTTCACCTAGATAATGAAAACATACAGTCATATATCAAGCACCAGTAGATTTTGGATATCTTCTTTGTGTGTTCAAATAAAAGTTTTATGTACCTTCTGTCCGTCATGATCCGTTTCGATGGTAGCATGTCCCATATGTGACGGTGCATGGGGATGATGACTGTGATCATGTTCTTTTGGACTGTCAGGCACATCCATGGAATTCTGCTGTTCATCTTTGATATTTTGCAAAATCTTGTCCAGATCGTGATCAATGTTAGCGTCATCATAGTCCATAGGCTAAAATACATCACCAGTTATTCCAATGTTGTGCTCATTGCATAACGATACACAAAATAGAGAAATGATTCAGTAGGAGGTTCTCAAAAGGGTCTGAAAAAAAGTCACATACCTCAATTTTCGTTCGATGATGGTTGTTTATAGTGTCTGTGGTCTCTTCATGTCCCAAAAGATCTCCTCTTGATATTAATGTGCACATATAAGCATCATGGGAAAACACATCGCGCCGTATCAGTTCCGCAAACAGGTGTACAAGATTAGAAAATGCAGTCTTTTTCTGAAGAAAAAATAGAAATTAGAACTTTTTTACAAAACGACAGTTTAACACGCCAAAATATGACCATGTGAGCCTTCTAAAATAGCCGCTAGGTGGCGTCATTTAAATTTCCAACATTCAAACGCCATTATTTTGCAATGATTCATAATTTTAACATACTCGTTAGGCCTTGTGGTGTTGAGCGCTCAATATTCAAACTTTTTTTATGTATCTTTTTCATATTATGGTTAAGTAGTAGAGGGGGAAGGGTTGAATGTCGTTACAGAAAAAGTCACATAACTTTTGTTTGGCCAAACATTTTGATAACCTTGGTTTCGTTTGAAAGAATATTCACATGCGCTCAATCTTGTCGGATTAGTTCAGCTTGTGGCCGTTAGACGGCGCTTTGTAGATGTCAGGCTCTTTTAAATTCTTTTCGAAAATTATTGATACTTATCAGAAAGTGCATAAAAATTCCTATAAAACGGTGAAAACTACAGATCAATATCATTGCTATGAAGATATATTAAGAAATATGCTTAATTACAATTTACACTTTCATTACAATGTTGTTTAACCGATAGCTGTAAGATGAGCGGTTGATGACATCCTTTATTATACAGGGTTATTACAAAAGAATCATTGGGTTTTAAAAATTTATGTTTCAGAGAGTATTGCAAATATCAAATGACATTACTAGAAAAGGAAAATGTTGCGAACGCCGCTTTACCTCCTTAGGCGGCGCCACGAGCTCAGTATACAAAATGGCGACTATGCAGCAGAAAGCGTTTTGTTACAGTGCAACGTGCATTCCGACGGCGGTATGGAACTGATTCTCCAGGTCATCAGAGCATTCTACGATGGTATCGGCAATTCAAGAAGACATGTTCCATTACTAAACGTAAAAGTACCGGAAGACCACGAGTTCCTGACGAAATGGTGTGTGTGTGTGTGACTGTCTGGTATTCAGCGACGAAGCGACATTTCATTTAATTGGAGTGGTGAACCGTCATAACATTCGGATATGGGGCACGGAAAATCCTCATATGATTGTGCAACATGAAAGGGATTCTCCAAAATTGAATGTATTCTGTGCAACATACAAAAATAAAGTGTACGGGCCGTTTTTCTTTCATGAAAACACTGTGAACGGTTCATCCTACCTAGATATGTTGCATTTGTGGTTATTTCCGCAACTAACAGAAGATTCTAACAACTTCATATTCCAACAAGATGGAGCTCCGCCTCACTGGCATCATGAGGTGCATCGGTATTTAAACGAGGCACTGCCTCACCGTTGGATTGACCGAGGTACTGCACAAGATTTGGTATTGTTCGCGTGGCCCTTACACCATGCGATTTTTACCTTTGGGGTTACATTAAAGATATGGTTTACATACCACCTCTGCCAACAACATTGGGTCAACTCCGGGAACGCATTACTACTGTTATTAACAATATCGATCGAGACACATTGCAGCGTGTATGGGCCGAACTGGACTATCGTTTGGACATATGTCGTGTGAGGCAAGGAGCCCACATCGAACATTTGTAATAACATGCTTAAAATCTTGAATATTTTACCTTTCCATTGACATGTCACTTACTGTTATATCTGTAATACCTTCAGAAATATATATTTCTAAACCCGATGATTCTTTTGTAATAACCCTGTATATACAGCAACATCTGGAGTTCCATAAGGTTCTAACTTAGGAGCCTTGTTATTTCTTATTTTCATTAACGATCTGTCTTTGAAGCTAACCTGTATGCACTTGCTTTTTGCTGACGACTTGAAAATATTTTCGCCAATTCACTCTTCGAGTGACTGTGGAGATGCAAAGCAAGCTTGACTTCATATATGAATGGTGCAACAGAAATCTGCTAACGTTAAATGTCAAAAAATGCAAAATGGTTCCGTATAGTCGGAAGCAAGAATTATAACTTTAATGAAAGCGGTTTAGGAAGAGATTCAAGTTTTAAAGACTTGGAAGTAGTGTTCGATAACAAACTCACTTCTAACGATCACATATCAGATATTGTATCATCTGCATCACAGTTTATGGGTTATTGTGTACGTAACTGGTCCGGCTTCTCTAATGTGGACTGTTTAAGAATATTTTCATATTTTTCATTTATTATCAGGACTAAGTTAGAGTATGCGTCCGTAGTATGGTCCCCCCTATATTAGAATACAATTGGTAAATTGGAGGCTGTACAACGTAAAGCTCTAAAGTATTGGTATTTTAAGTGCAGTGGTAGATACCAAGAGAGAGGGTTTGATCATGACGTTTTATTGGAGTTTTTTGGCATTGAATCACTAAGGAATCGTCGTGACGCTCAAGCTGTCACTTTCCTTTATAAGTTAATGAATAATCATATTGATTGTGGGTTCCTACTGAGTAAGATTAATTTTCATGCTCCCAGATTAGTTGGTCGGCATAATCACATATTTTACTGTGATACACCATGGACGAATATTTTATGCAGATCCTCAGTAATGGTAATATGTACCTTATTCAATTCAATCTGTAACAGAGCTGATGTATGTCATGACAGTGTTAATAAAATATTAGACATTTACAGCGAGCAATTGAGATAAAATCGTTTTGTGGAAGTGTTTAATTGTTCAAAAACCTATGTATTATGTGTTCATTCATATCACTGATGTTTTCATTTTTTCTTTTTTTTGTTATTTTTTCTGATTCATTGTCTATATATATATATATATGCGTGCGTGTGTGTGTGTATATATGTATGTGTATATATATATATACTAAGTGACATATAAATCCGAACACCCAGTTTAAATGGTTTTATTTTAATAACATTTTGTATAAGTACTTAATGAAGCATAATAAGTAAATGATAAAAATTTCAAAATGATTGCACTGCTTTAAAGCCCTTTGACCTTTAATAATGTGTGGATGCACCCTGATGTGCTACGCATTCTCCAACGCGCCTAGGCATGCTTCTGATCAGGTGGTCAATGTCCTCCTGTGGTATCTCATTCCAGGCAACCACCAACTCCTCTCGAAGTGCTTCTAGAGTCTGAGGAGGACGTTGCAAATTGAGCAATCTCCTACCCATCATATCCCACACGTGCTCAATTGGGGATAAGTCGGGAGATCTTGGTGGCCATGGTAACAATGTGACATCATTATGTTGAAAGAAGTCTATTGTGACTCTTGCAACATGTGGTCGGGCATTATCTTGTTGGGAAGTTGGATCTGCCAGGGTGTCAAGATAGGGTAAAAGATGGGGTTCTAGAGCTTCGTTACCTCTGATGAAGATTAAAGGTGACCTGGAACCATAAGCTATAGCACCCCAAACCATAACTCCAACAGTGTGATGAACATGTCTTTCAACAAAAAACTGTGGATTCCTCCTTTCACCACGTCGCCTTCTAACCCTGGCACGACCATCGTGCATGCCTAAACAAAATCGAGACTCGTCACTAAAGACAATACTGTTCCATTCCTGATCCCAGAGTGACCGTTGTCTGCACCACTCAAGGCGATTACGTTGGTGTTCTCGAGTTAAAGGGAGGACCCAGTGTGGCCGGTATGAAAACAAGAGAAAACTTCTCATTCGTCGGTAAACACTTCGCATGCTAATAGGCTTAAGGCCAATAATCCTAGGCGGCGATCTTCACGGTCTGTTGTTCTACGGCGGCGTCCAGTGCCCCTTGCTCTTTGCGTACGGCCTTCTCGAAGCCATGCCTGACAACACATAACCACAGTGTCTACACTTCTTTGCACTCTAACTGCAATTGCCCGAAAAGAAAGTCCAGCTCCCGAAGTCCCACTATACGGCCCCTATAAAACTCACTAAGTTGACGAAATCGTACAGGTCGCCGTACTCTAGGTATCGTAACCGATCGTAAAGGACGTCAAGAACCAAAATCCGCCAACGTTGATTCTTTACTGCGGCTGAAATATTCATTTTTAGAGCGTTAGTGAATTAAAAAAAGCAGTATTAAAACCGGTATGTCCAACTGATAAGGCTGAAAATTTTTTCACTTGTTATTTACAGTAAGATAAATACATTCACCAACTTTTACTAAAATAAAACCATTTAAACTGGGTGTTCGGATTTATATGTCACTTAGTATATGTATATATAAGGTACCATTTTGTTTTGATTTCACTAATTTCCTGTGATTGGGTGGATACATGTTGGAAATAAATGTATTATTATTATTATTACTGGCCGTCCCGGTACATAGATTGGAAATACAACAAATAAATTAAACAAATTAGTCACTTACTGATTGGCAATCATCTGCAGATGGTACAGGAGCATCTCTGTCTAGAAAACCCATCAGGAAACTCTGGAAATAAACGATTATGACACAAAAATCTTTTAACTTCAAATTACAGTATTTTTCCGCCCTTGGATTTGAGACAATCAACTGCAATAAATTGACATAATATACCTGAAACGGAGGCGGCCCGCCAGGTGTGCTACAACTGGATTCTTCCCCCTCTCCTGCATCTTGCTCAGCTCCTACATTCCCTCCCCCATTACCAGTGTTTCCAGTAGTTGTCGCAACGTCTGCTTGGCGGCGATCCAACAGCGCGGCAACAGCCAATGCCCTGTGTTCACCTGTACGCTCTGGCGACACTGCCCATTCGCACAAGAGACGCACCTAACAAAGTGTTTTATATTAAAAAATATGATTTCAAAAAAAGGATCGCGACTGAAATATTTAAATTTACAATATAATTTATGATGTGTGACAGAAAAGTAATGAGACTGATTTTTTTATTGCCAAAGTTTTTTTTTCAAACGTCAATATTATCTCTTTCAGAGTAGTTTCCCCATGCAGATATGCACTGATTTTTTTTACACCAAAGCAGCCGCGCAGGCAGAAGCCTAAACGCCAAGACACCGCGGCTGCTGTGAGGAGCTTAAAGAATCTTTGTTAATCCGATTTTTGAATAGCCTAAGGTTAGTAGAACTGGAAAAAGCCTCCTCATGTAGATTATTCCACAATCTCGATACTCTAGGGACAAAGGAGCGGTCATATCGGCCGGTTCTGCATGTACGAAGTTCGACACATCGGTGATCTGGTCTACGACCAGCCGAAATGAACCGTTTCTTGGTAGAACTCGGCCGCCCATCAAAACCGAATGAGCGCTAGGACGCTTCTTGTTCGTCAAGTACTGTGTTTTGGAAGCATGTAACGGTACCAGAATGTTGCGTCCCGAATCAGTGATAACCTCCAGGTCCAGCTCCTAGTCTTCTTTTCTCCAGCCCGCCAGTAGAGATCGACTGGTCACTCTGAATTCCTGCATGTACAGTGCTTTCATCTACAAAGCTGTGCATTGGATTGATATGTACGAGGCAATATGTAGGAGGAAAGACCGATCCATGGGGAACACCGTCAATTACCACGGATGTCTTGCGGCCAGAGAGGAAGTCAGCCAACCATCTGCAAAGCTTCCTGGGAAGGCCATAGGATGGAAGCTTGCGTAACGTCAGCTAGGAGGTCCCCTGTGGATCGCTTAGTGCCGGATACCATACTGCCTGACGCTAATCAAGAAGTGACGTTCTAGGTACTCCTGAAGCTCCCGATATATGCAAATGTCCATCACCTTACTTATAACAGAAAGCAGAGCTATAAGTCTGTCGTTGTAAGGGTCGGTTTTAGATACTTTTTGTTGGGTCGGTTAGACATGTGCAAATTCCCAATTCTCTGAGAAAGTACCGAAGTCGTAAGATATCTCTGGAAGACACGCGAAAGAACTGGAGCAAGCTCCGCTACACATCTCTTCAATACAACGACAGGAATTAATTCCGGTCCAGAAGCTTTGTTGATATCGTGCGATAAGAGCACCCGTCTTGCGGTATTATGCCTGATGGAGATGCCTTGTCTTGATAGCAGCGCTGGATGCCTTCAACTGGTATTATCTTCAGCATTTCTGTCACACTGTCTTGAATGTTTTCTGAAGTTCCAAAATCAGTTTTTCACTTTCAGAAAAAAAAAGGAAAGAGTCGCAGCAGCTGACATCAGCTGAATAAAGGTACTGGGGATCTACAATTATACCTTTTGAGGTCAAGAATTCTGCTCAATTGTGAGGTTTTTCGGCACCGCTTTGGTACAGATCTTACGCATGCGCAAATATTTAGTCAACATTTGAAGAACGCTAAACCTGTTAATATTTAACTGGTCACTCAACATCCTTAATATAAAACGACAGTTTGATATCTAATAATATATGGTGTTAACACATTCGATGTTTTCGTCGGTTTTCGTAGTTAAAGGCCTCCTAGAGCGTGGTTCATCTTCAATGTGTTCTCTGTCAGTCAAAGAAAAACTTGAGCTCGGGATAAGGAATCTTCCCAAAGGTCTATTTCAACTTTCCGATTCTCCAAGCCTAACACAAAATTTAATGACACAACGTTGCTCCAAATTCCGATGTTACATTTTGCGTGGGGCACAAGCAAAACATAAATTTACTAATAACGGTCCCAAAAATTACGTGGATACTGGATGGAGTTGAAACTCGCAGCGAGCGACGGGGAGGAACTGACACACGTACCCTATGAAGGACAGCGCAGCGTTGCCAGATCGCTGGCAGTGATGCCACACCTGGTACTTCAATTGTGCATCAAACAAACTGGTCAATGGTAGCGGCAGAACTTTGCGTTTGTTTTGATGCAGCGTAAGTGACATGTGAATGATTAGTCAACTTGCCGATCAGGAAAACATTCTGATAAATAAAAATATGCAACTCAGTTTTAAATAATAAATGTTATGCTTGAAACGTACCACAGGTGCGTCCTGATCTAGCGGGCCCGTGAAGACTTTAGCATACAGAGTGTCCAAAGAGTTTGCTGCGTCCATTTTGTCGAAGCGATGTCTGTCTAACGCGTCTAAGGCAGCTAAGACTCTCGTTGTGATAACTCCTGAAGCAAAGTGTGACAGAATTTTAGGTCAAAATCACCATTTCTGTTGATATAGGTGAAAGAAACTTGAAACACCATGGCAGTTTGGGGCGCTGAATATGGATATGACTAAAAAAATCGTTGAGTCTAGTGGAGCCGAATTTAAGAGAAACTGGGTCGGACGTAAGTTCTAGGATGGTAATGAAATCAGATTCGCAATTTAAGTATCTGATTTACCCGAAAAACGAGCCTTTGTCCAGATCCCAGATATGTAGGGTTTTGTTTAAATTCTTCAAAGGAAGCATAATTTTCTCTTTAGTGTTCGGTTATTACACAGGTATTTGGTACACTTAAGTAATACAAGTATATGGCGCTAAATACGCATACGATCATCAAGAAAAAACCATGGAGTGTTCTGATATTGAACTCGAGGTAGAGCCCCAGCGTCAAAGTTACAAAAGATTGGATTTTGTTTTAAAACTTCCATTTTAGTCTTTAGTAAAATCTTAATGCGTGTGTGTATATGGGGGGGGGGGTAAATTTCAAGTACAAAATGGTCTTCCTGGGAGTATCAAGACTATTTCGAGCTCTACGTAAGGTTGGTCAATTTTCGATTTCACTTAGGTTTCAACGTATAAATTAAAAATAAAACTAGCAATTACAAAATAATATAAAATGTTCAAATTCGCATTCGAATTTAAATATGTTCAATATTCTTACCATCATTATTATTCTGCCACCTATCAGTACACCACCTGCCTTCCGCTCGTCGACTTCGTTCCCGTACAGCCGCTTCCGCGCGCGCCACCTGCCGGCCGTAATTGGAAACATTGCCGGCACGTCGCGGAGTTGGCAACGCCGACGGCGGTGCCGCCAAATGGTCGAGAGGGGATCCGTGCCAAACAGTGCCAGATCCGGCGCCGCACCAGACTAAGGCAGTGGGGCATTCCAGCGTTATCACTTGAATCACTGTACTTAGCTGCAAGACTGGAGCGGATAATGATAAATAGCGATGCAGAATTACCAAGAATGTTCGTCTTCTCGTAGAATGGCTATTTTTGTATTAAGAGCGCAAAGTATTAGTCTAATCATATTAGACGAAAATACTCCTGGTTTTATTGCTGCAAGTTGTTCGAGGGAGTATTTAAAACATGGACGCATAACATGGGTACAGCAGTTTCTGTTTGGAAAACTTTTTATTCGACAACAAAGAATGAGAAAACGTGTGTTTTTTCGATTCAATCGAAAGTGTTGGCCGGAACGAAAAACTCCCCAAATAAGATTTTTAGGTACATATTTATGAGACCTATAAAATGAGACCACGGGTAAAAAGATCCAACTAATAGCAAAAAAGTTACGGCCGAAAACCGATGCAAGCTGCAGGTTTTGGCACTTGTTGGTAATGCGCCGATGGTTTCTCGAAGATACTTGAAATTGTTCAAATTCGTAGGATTCATACTTCTTAATAACCACAACAAAATTGGGAGTAGATTGGTCGAGTAGTTTTAGAGAATTTCTAATTGTTTATCTCAAAACACTTGTTTCCCTGTCATCGCTGCTAGTTTATTGAGCAGTATACAGGGTTAATTTTATGGCAAAATACACTAGTTCACTTTGCCGATACGAATCGCAAACCTTTCCGGAAGATAAAAGTTATTTTTATGCAAAAAATGGAGGGTTACGTTTTTTTTTCTAATCAAATTCAAACATTTCATATGTGTGAGTAATTCGCAACAACAGATGAGACGACACATCCGCTTTGTTTTAAAATGTGTATAGCAACGATGTTTTTCGAATATTATAGCGCATTTGTTCAACTATGTACTCGCAAATACGAAATGTTCTTTCGGAATGGTTTGTGATTCATATCGGCAAGGTAAACACGTGTATTTTGCTATTAAATGCTCCCTGAACGAACCCTGTATATTGCTCAATACACTAGTAGTAATGGTAGGAAAACAGGTGTTACAATTAGCAATTGTCAAAAACTACTTGACCAATATACCCCAATTTTTTTGTTGTTATTTAGAAGCACGAATCCTACACATTAGAAAAATTTCAAGTATCTCCATGAAACTATCGTCGCATTACCAATAAGTTTTTCGGTTTTTGTTGGTCTCATAAATACCTAAAAATCTCATTCGAAAAGTTTTTTGTTCCTGTTCATTCGATTGAATAAAAAAAACACGTTTTCTCATTCTTTGTTGTTGAATAAAAAGTTTTCCCCCAAAAATTGGTGTAATCATTTTATGCGTCCATGTTTTGAGCAACTTGCTCCAATAAAACCAGACTTTACAATTATTTCAGGGAAATTTGCTAATATCATGATAATAATCATAATAATTTATTCACATCAATTATACTAGACTGTATACTCAGTGACATTAGAAGTGTGACACCCAGAAAAAATAAATTCTTCAACTTATAGTTCTGGCAACATAACGACTATATTTAAAGCATGCTGCCCCAACAAAGTCAATGTTTTATCTTTGTTTTTGTTTACCTTTGTTAAAACGTTATCTCTTAGTGTTTGTTAAGAAAGCAGTTTCTGAGAGCTGAGTAGTACAGATATTTTTAGTTATTGCCCTTTCATTTACTAGTGTTAAGCATAACAAAATGCCTGAAGTTCGAAGATGTCCAAATTATCACCATGTTAGCGAATTTCACAGTGGTAGAATTATTGCCCATCGAGATGTTGGTTTGTCCTATCGCGAAGTGAAGGTAATGCGTGTGTGGATAGAAGAAGGTATACGAACACGAAGAAGGCCAACTGGTCCAACGAGGCGTACCACACAGTTTCAAGCCAGGCGCTTCAGACCACTAGCCCAATAAGACCGTTTTGCTACTGGGCGTCAGATAGCTGACCAATGGTTTGGAGAAGGTAGACCAGTTACTATGCGTACACTCTATCGCCGCATCCGAGCCTCTGGACTTTTTTCATACCGTCCACGATTAGTGCTTCATCTGACTGCGGATCACTGTCGTCAACATTTAAGTGGATCAGAGAACGGCAACATTGGTAGGTAGAATGGCTTTATCAGCGACGAATCGCGATTCTGTCTAGGTATGCACGATGGTCGTATGAGGGTAAAGGCGCAATTACACTGAGGCAACTTTTGGGCAACATGTAGCATACGGCATTGACGCATGCGGCACACTGTCTTTCCATGGAGGCAACACAAAGCGACAAAAAAATGTCTCCTTGCCGCATGCCACAATTTGCCCGTTGTTGCCTCTCGAGGGCGCCGTCAGCGACATGAATCCACGTGTTGATCAATGTCGCCCGCTATCCAAACCCGTTCGGGTCGGTGCGGCTTGTAGCAGGCGACAAAATGGAGTGGACCAATGAAGAATCATTATCTTTCGGATGAATTATGGAATAACAAATCAGAAATATATAAAGATGCACGACCAAAGCAAGATAACTTACAGTAGGCTAAAATAGTTGGTGGCTACGGCCACTTGCTTGCGTACAGTACCTTCAGTTTTTTAGACGTATACGATTGTTTGCTTCTTGTCTCCTTGACTTACCAGTAGTAGACGAGCAGACCTATACCGCACTGACAGTACTGTCTGCGGTTGGTTATAGTTTCAGGGAGACAAGAAGGAAACATCTTCTCATTTTCTGTCCATAGTTGGCTATTTATTAACGGTTGATTTCTTTAAATAGGAAAATACAACTGTTCGATATTGGAAATTGCTTGGTTCAGATAAACGAAACAGATACATAAGCGATAGATAACTAACACCCGTAGCCAAATATCTTAATGACACTAGCAATCTCACGCGGGGCGTTATTGCTTCCCAAAAGTTGGTATCACATTCTTTTATCATTGGTAAGATTTTTTCAAGTAAGTAGTGAAAATCGTTTTTACTCATCCGTGTGAAATTTCGGAATAAAGCATCATCGTGGGCCACCAAGTTGTTGTACAAATTGTACTGAATTTCTTGACCATCTACGTATATATTTCTTCTCCAATATTCTGGCGTTTTTCTTTTCCGATCCGAAGAAATTACTAAATAAGCAGCCGCCGCGACTGTCTGTAATGACACGACGTACTAAACTGGAGTTGCTTGAACTGAATCGTGAAGACGCATGCTACACTCATGTACGACAAACCGCATGCCACATAGGGGAACAAAATCCGCATACGGCATTAATAGAATTTTGGGCAACACTGTCGAACGTCAACAAGAGGCAACACTGGAAACAGGTAGCATGCCACATGTCGTTCATTGTTGCCTCAGTGGAATTGCGCCTTAAGACGCCGCCGTGGAGGATGGCGTGATATTGGATTTGCTGTTGAGAGTCATGTACACAGGACTGTTGGAGTAATGGTTTGGGAGGTTATTGCCTATGGTAACCGATCACCCCTTCTTTTTGTTCAAGGCAATATGACTGCTGCGCGTTATGTTGATGATGTCCTACAAACCACTTTACTGCCGTCCACATGACCTTCTTCAGCAAGGCAACGCACGTCCCCATACTGCTCGTCCCACTACGGGACTTTCTTCAAGAACCGGGATATGATGAGGAGGAGACTATCCACTTGCACCATCCGCCACAGACTCTGCTACAGCTAATACATGAAGTTTGAGTTGCTTGGAATGAGGAGCCACAACCAGACATCGATCATCTCATTTTGTCGATGCCTAGATGTATAAAGGAGTGTATTCAGCTGCAGGGTCGCCCAACACGGTATTAATTTTTTTCTTATTACTTGCCAATAAAATTTAGTGAGAATGTTATCGTTTCATTCTTGGTGTAAGACTACCTCATTGGTACTTATTTTTTCTGGGTGGCGTGTAAGTAAATAATCTACCGCTCGAGACACTTGATATTTCGGAAGAGCTGTAAGGGTACAAACAAAAATGTTGTGTGCACAAATGCGAGCAATGAAACATATTTTTCCAAGTGCTGAGAAGCTTCTTTTTCAAAGTTGAGCTAGAATGGGGATCAATAATACTCACTAATATCTCGATGATGTGGACAGTTTTGGTACTCCATCAAAGATGTTTGAATAGGATTAGGTGGTATATTCTCCTTTTTCTCCTTATCACCATCTTTTTGTTCACTCTTGGTATCACTAGCTGGAGATGTCATGAGATTGTTATCAGCCACATTGTTCAACATCTGACTCAGTCTTTTGGTACAGAGGTTTGCTAGACGCCGTGAAAGCAGCTCTGATTGCACAAATTCGTCCAGATATTGCAAAGTTAATGGTAAGAAAATCCTTAGAATGCCATCATCAGATGGTTGGGATTTTTGTTTTTCTAGAAGCTCAATGATCCAAGTCAGGACCTCTTGGCGATCCATCAGACCTGTGAAGCAAGTTTGATATACATATTATCATTAATCAACGCATTCTACCTGAAGATAGCCGATATGCTATATTCTCGCGTCTACAAAAATATCCGAGATAAAATGAGATATCTGGTATCTCCGTTAATTTCTTCGACGCGGGCATAAAACAATAGGTTGTTTATCTTCAGGTAGAATATGTTAATGATATTATAAAATAGTAAATGGTTTTCCTAGATAAACCTAATGTATTCTTAAGTATAAAGCAATGTTATATATGAAAAAACTATATTGGACATTAATTATATATATTTTCAAGTTTTTTGAGACACTAGTCTCACTGATATTATTTCACATTTTATGGCAAAAAATATTTTATATTCTATACTTTAAATTATATCATTGGGTAACATATTTTACCTGAAAGTATCCTGCCATCTATGAGACAATAGCAGAGCACAAAAATATACTTAGAAGTCTACTTTGGAAAGAGTTTGAGTCTTTAGTTCTGCTACTGCCCCATAGATGGTGTTAGGATCCTCAATCCCTTTTTACCACCTCTATAATACCGATTTTAATTGCGTATCTTCAAGAAGAATATGTTAACCAATTATTTTATACACTGATTTCATGATTTCTATATTGAAAATTGAATGCACCACATTCCTACCTTCCTCATACATATACTTGAGAAGTTTAGTGCAATAATTCCAATGCCTTAAGGCTAGTTTTTGTTCTGTCTCATTGGCATGTACTGAATTTAAAGGTGTGTTAGGGTTAGGTGTTTTTTCAGTCTGAGAGTAGAATTCTTGCAATTTGGGTATTTGGTCTTTGAGGAACTTCAGCAATGTACCAGTCCATTCTAGAAACACAACATAAAAGTAGATCGGCCTCCAAAGAAATATTAGCTCATCCTGTCCCACTTGTTGACAAATATTAGCAGAAATAGCAAATTCGCCCTATATCCTATACTAAATTCATTTTCAAGGTGCAGACAGTCAAAACAATGATGAGGCAACCATCATATTGCACAGATCCTGCACACTGATTGGTTGATAACAGAAAGAACAGGTTTGGATCTGCACTTATTTATTTCAATGGTAAACCATTTTATACTGAAAAATTTAGGATATTTGAATATTTAATGGACATAAATGTTCATACAAGATGTCTTTACATGACAGTGTTTAAAAATCACAATCACAGTATATTTAAAAGTCACAAACTGGAAATATAGCATAATAGTTTATCAAAGTTTCACTACTATACAAAAATAAGATGAGCTCAATTATATATAGTGGAATCCACTTATAATGAACTTGCTTATAATTGAAACCCGTATATAATGGACACAATTCAAGGTCCTATAAATAATTGCATGTAAAATCCTCGGATATTAGAGACACGCCTAAAATAGACCCTCGCTTATAGCGGACTATTTTAATCCATTATATGCGAGCTATTTTGTTAGTTCCCCGAAGCATTCGATCTTGGCCACCAGTGTTATACTGTATTTATAAACATGTCGAAAAGTGCGAAACGTGCATTCACTTTACACGAAAAGCTCACAACAGTTAGTGAGCTTGGACAGGGTTCATCTCAAGCAAATGTATGTGCTCGTATGGCTATAAAAAAATCCACTGTGTCAAATATTTGGAAAAACCGTGACAAAATTAAACACGACTAGAAATCAATTAGTCAAAAGAAAAAAAAGCGGCTATCGCTGCATCCCCAAATCGATGATATGCTGTTTAAATTGTTTCAACAAAAGCGTGTTAATAATTTTCCAATAAGTGGACCTATGCCACAAATAAAGGCTGAAGAATTTGGAAAATCGATTAAAGATTACTTCATATGTAGTTCCGGTTGGTTAGACAGGTTTAAGAAAAGACATAACATTGTTTTTGGAAAAATGTGTGGTGAGTCAGCTTCAGTTGACAAAAATGTTACCAACGACTGGATTTCTCAAGTTTGGCCCATAATATCCAGTGATTATTCAGATGATAACATATTCAAGGCAGATTAAACGGAGATATTTTATAGAATACTACCAAATAAAACTCACAAAGTAAAAGGTGAAACTTGCAATGCAGGGAAACTATAAAAGAGCAAATAACTGTTATGATTTTTGCTAATGCTTCTGGTACTGAAAAACGGAAACTATTGATAATGGGTAAGTGAATGAATAGAAATTCATTTTCTAATTTTTTTGATATTCAATGGCAGTGCTGCACAGAATTTATGACCTTTTTTTTATTTCAGTAAAATTTAAGAATCCCAGATGTTTCAAAAATTTTAAACAATTCCCGTCGATTATGTTGGCAATAATAAAGCTTGGATGACTCCATCAATTTTTGAAGAATATTTAAAAAAGTGGGACTCTGACCTTGTTAAGAAAAATCGTAAAATGTTGCTCTTGCTCGATAACTGCCCTGCTCATCCGAATATTTCACTTAATAACATCAACCTTCAATTTTTTCCACCTAATGTGACATCAGTTCTGCAAAAAATGAACTAGGGCGTCATTTGAAGTCTCAAATTTATTGGAAACATATGTTGATGAAAATGATCGAGCTTCAAGAAGATATCAACATTACCAAAGCTGTCACCTTTTTAGATGCTATAAATTTGCTTACTATTTGGTTACTCCAGAAACGATTCGTAATTGTTTTCACCATGCTGGTTTATTGAAAAACATAACTGAAATAGTCAATGACTTTGATCCAGAAGATGAAATTCCATTAAGTGATTTACTGAAAATTAATAGTTTACTGAATATAGACAAATTTAATGAGTATGTAAATGTTGACAATAATTTAATAGCAACACAGGAATTGTCAGACTCCAATTTGGTTAATGAAGGATCCGTTGATAACAAACAGGAAGACGAACGATGAAGAAGAGCTTCCAGTGACAAATAAGGACGCATTGGACTGTGTGAGAAAGTTGCAACGTTATTTTCAGCAAGAAGAAGACAATACAGCCACACTTACTAAATTAAATAAAATTCAACTTGCTGTTCTAAATAATTAAATCTATCTATCTATTCAAATGAAAATTACTAGCTTTTTTACCAAATAATTTACATTTCACATATACCTACACAGTACATATGCCTGTAATATGTGTATCAGATTCAGAAAAAAGGCAAATTTCAAAATTTCATATAACTTTTTTGTATGTATCTTTATTTATGTAATACATGTTAAGCAAACACATTTTTAATATGTTATTTCTGCTGCTTTTCTCATTAAAAAAAAGTGTCTTTTAAGATGGTCATCCGCCTATAATAGACTATTTGTTACAGTCCTGCCAAGTTCATTATAAGCGGTTTGCACGGTTTTCACATTTTTTGTGGCAGTTAGATCGCAATGTCATATGAAATATGTGACCTAATGGTACCATGTGCATAGCTTAACTTCCCTATTAAAGGAAATTGCACACTGTGCAAGCCATAACACAACTGTCACTCGATCTTGCACATACCTGAATTGGGTGATAAGGAATAATTGTTTTCACTGACCTTCAAAAAATACTTCTAACCCAGACTGTTGATATTGTAGTTATATCTTCAGACATTATGTTTTATATCAAAGATTACATGGTGCAACACAAATCTGCTGCCCATGAAAAATAAGATGTCATACTGTGTGTGTTTACATCTACTGCATCTCAAAAATGAATTAAGTATAGCTGTTATCGACACAATCTATTCTAAATATTTTGGCCAGAAATGTACATTCATCATGAAATGAAAATTTGTCATAAAATATCAGATTTTATATTATAAGAAACCTATGATAAAGGAGTACCTGTTGTAGGATCTGGCATTTGTCTTTTTTTTATTTTTGCTTCAGATACAGCTACAGTATATGCTGAACTAAGTTTGATGAACCATGCAGCTCTAATCATAGGAACCTGGTGCTCAGTTAGCATCATGAATATCTCTTCTTTTTTGTTAAAGTTTGGAGCTTTTTTTGATAGATTCATAAGAGGTTTATTTCCTGCAAGATCTTTGAACCATGCTTCTATATGATTTTTTGTCCTTATTGTAGCTGGCCAAAAATTGTCCTTAGGATTGATTTGCTGTCTTTTTCTTCCTGAATCAGGGAGCATGGACAATTCTTCTTTGCGTGCAATGATAGCATTGAAATATGCTCCCACCTAAATAAACAAGTTTCTTATCATCTAAGATCATACTAAGGACTACGTGGAAATCAGGTCTTTAAGGGTTAGAAGATATTACTCAAATATTTAGATGGAGAAAACCAAATTTGAGATAACAACTCTTTCAGATTCCATCAATAAGCCAAATTATTTGTCAACTTTGTTGCACTATGTGAGATAAGTGTATCTTGGATTCTTGTTCCTCTGATCAATGTAATTTAAATAACTTTCATACTTGCCTTGCTTGCAATTACATTGCAATTTCTGGCAGTTCCAAACTCATCACTGAGGTGTGTCATGGTAGGAAATCCATGTTTAACGCTTGTGAGGGTGAGCTCATCCTCTTTCTGCTTAGGCTCCTGAGGATAAACATCAGGAGGACCGATTCGAGGTCTTTTCAGGGGCCTCTTTTCGTATAACAAGCTACTGTTGAACATCTTGAATTGAGGTGTAACTTACGTCTTAACTAATAAACATTGATGCATTCATTTTTAAGAGTTCATGAGGCCAATTTTTGAATGTTTTCTTATCGGATATTGTTAACATTTTCACAGTATCTTCAAAAAAACACTTGGGATATTTTTGACCACAACAATTGTTCACCATCTTCCATCTTGGCAGCTTGGCAGAACAATTTTGTCAATTTAACAATTACATTGTCGGCAACTGGAGTATCACGTTCTGTACGAATGGTTGCCTGCCATCTAAGACCCAGGTGACGATGCACGATAGCGATGTGCCGAGTACGGTTTGACTCGAGTCAGACTCGATTCCTGCTTTAGAACTCGAATACCAATTTATTGTGATTCGAGTACGCCGGACTCGATTCCCGGTACTCGAGTCATGAAGAATCGATTCGTACTCGCTAACTCGATTCTATTTATGCGAGTCCAACTGACTCGAGTCTCGTATTCGAGTTTGGTTAACTCACTCGTACTCGCAAACTGTTTACTTAGTGTAGGGCCACACATAAAGCTGCTAGCGGGGAAGGTAGCGAAGAGGAAGACGGAGAGTACTTCGAACTTCGGATACTGGCTTCACATGTCGCTGGTTTGGAGGCGTATTTTAATTTGCAAATTCCATAAACAGTACAGAGCCCAGGTGACGGTGGTGTTGTTATTACGGAAAAATGTCTCTTGCTAATAATTTATATTTAATCGAAAATTCGAGATTCTTCTACAGATAATGCTCAACAATTTGTTGTTGACGAGTTGATGATGTTGGAAACACAGGAATCTCAAGCTCAATTCCAGGTGCCAAATACTCCAAATAGATGTCTACTGCCATCTACTTCACGTCTCGAAACATCTACAACTTCATCTTCAGATTCCCAGCAGATAACTTTAGAGGTGACTGGCGAGAATTTATGGGAGCATCTAGATAAATGGGTATTAGAATTTTCAAGCATGGAAAACCCCACAACATCGGCAATTATCAAGGTGAAACAGTAGGTAGAGGCGTAGAGCTACCATATTTGGATAGAAAAGTCTATCCACTGAAATTTTGGGAACTTCGCAAAATCACCAACAGCGGCCTTTATAAAATAGCTTTGAAGTATTTATGTGTTCCAGCCACTTCTGTGTCTTCGGAACGAGTTTTCTCTAAGGTTGGTCTTTTATGCAATAAACGCCGCAATAGACTGGAGTAAAAGAAGGTTTACCAAATACAAACAGTTATTTCAAATAGCTTTTATTCCCTTATCTCTATTTTGTTTTTTTTATATATTCATTTAGTTATGTACGTTATTGTCAGTACGGTTTAGGTCGCTTAGGTGGATCTGAATACCATCCCAAATGTTATATTCTGAGCTGTTGAGTTTGTGTACCTACTTTTGCAAAATTAAAATGGTTTGATTTTAATGCTTGCTATATCTGTCTAGTGTTTAGATGTATAGGATTCCTTAAAGCTGTCTCTACTAATAAATAAATAATAATAATTTGATTATGTTCTATGTTTTTTTGTTTATCTCCATAGAACTCCTATGCTCTATGTTTTTATTTAGTGTTTATAATTATCTTTCATTAAAAATTATTGATTTATTATTGTTGTGTCATTATGCTTAACCTAACCTACACGCTGGTTGAAGTTAACTCCTTTTCATGTTTTCCTTTTGTTCTAAAATCGGACTCTAGTTCTGGACTAGAATTTTCAGATTCGAATTCTGGACTCGAATTTCTAGACTCGAGCCAAGCCGGACTCGAGTCAATATTCGAATACCAAACATAGAATTCGAGTACTGGTCGCGAATCAGGGAATCGAGTCATGATTCGAATACCGTATAAACTGACTCGATCCATCAAAACAGCGACTCGGCACATCACTAGTGCACGATACACATACACTGAAGATAGGATATTGCGCATGTGAGCGGAGCTTCGTGACGTCACCCGGAGAGTTGTCGGCTCGTGGTTACCAGCAGCAGGATTGTCGTAACGTTACTGCAGTTCACGTGTATCGTGCATAATACTATATAGTGCGATTTGTTGGTAGTTTTGTGACCTGTTCTATTAGTTATACATACTTTATATAGCCTGTGTGGTTGATAAATTGTTAAAAATGCGGTGTGCTGTTGCGGGATGTAATTCCGACAACCAGTCCAATCGGAATCCTTGGAAAGACATGAAGTTCTACAGTTTTCCTCAAGACGCAAACCTTAGCAAAAAATGGCTACATCATACACAAAGAAAAATCAAAGTCAATGTAAAAAGAGCTAGGGTTTGCTCGAAGCACTTTTATGAAAGTGCCTATAAGGTCAATTTGAAACATACCCTTTTGGGTTACACCCCTAAAAGATATCGTGCTCTAAAAGATGATGGCATTCCTATGGAAAATTTACCCAAGTCTCTATCATCACATGGACCATCTACATCTGTTGATGGGGAAAAGCGGGAAAGTGCTTACGACAAAAAGCAAAGGCTCAACTTATCCCCTAGAGTTTAAGTATAGAATAAGGTCATATATTTTTGGGCGAAACGAAGGCGCATACTCAGAGTATTGTAGCGTAGAGGAAGAGGATACTCCGGACATTCCACTAACCGCATCATTAACGAATAAACTGAATGCACCTGAAGTATCAGCTGACTATATGAGGAAGTTTTAGTGGAAGAAATGGATGAGCTCGAGTATGATGAGCTGAAAAATTTGGCCGACTTTGTTTGTCATAAATTGCAGGATGAGAGGTTGAAAAGTTCCCCAAATGAAACTTGCTCTTGTATAGACCATCTTAGTGAGAGTGGATTATCAAAACCTTCCACAGCTTTCACGAATCAAAGTGAGAAGCTTAATAATAATAAGGTGTTTACTACATTCCATGGGGACGGAATAGTGACAGAAAAGCAAAATTTTATGGGCGAACTTCTGTTGAAGAGCAGCAACATTGACTGCCCTGAAAAAGCTTTTTATTTATTTTTCAGGTCAAGGATGTTCTTCCGGATCAAAGAACTGAATAAAAGTTTGAAAGACCAGAAAAATCGTGAAAGAAAATGGAGAAAATTTGTGGGTTAGACTAAGTAATTTCCATTTATTGTTATACCGCCAGCTTACTGCAAAAAGATGATAACTCCATTTTTCTACTTTTCGAGCTGCGTACGTTTTCACACTTGCATGTAGTTAGTAGTTAGGATGTTCTGTGAAATAAGGATGAATAAATGTAGTGCAGTATTAACGTCATGACCATGTTAATCTTGCTCCACAGAACATACTAAAATATAGGTAATGTAGAAAAATGTTTTTACAGTAAAGTGACGATACACGCTCTATTGTGGAGCTAGAAAGCCGTTTAAGCTATAGAATTATAAGGTTTAAATCTTTTATTTAAATCCGCCATTTTGTTTTGTATGAAATTTTAATGTAGATTGCGTCACTCGCACCGTTAAGACGAATCCAACGACACCTCATATGTGCAAATCTATCAAGCCGTTTGAGCTGTAGCCTATGAAATATGAATTGCAAGGTTGAAATCTTTTATTAAATTCCGCCATTTTGTTTTGTATAAAATTTTAATGTATCTAGTGTCACTCGCAACGCTAAGACGAATCCAACGACACTTCATATGTGAAAATCCGTCCAGCCGTTTGGTCTGTAGGTGAAAATATGGACGTTTTCCATATCAACCCAAATGATAATCCCTCTCCGCGTGACGTAATGCGCGTCGACGGACGAAAATCGAACAGCGGGGCATCCGGCACGAGTGGCGGTGAGATGATAGTCAAATGCGCAATGTGAGGGGAAGGTGATGCAAAAATAAGGTGAATGCAGTGTTGCCGACCCTAAAATAAGTAAGATATTTCCAGTTTTTACCGAAAAAGATATGCACCAAAAATAGAGCTAAACAATTCTATGTGGTCTATGTAGTTTTATTCCCAATATCATCAATCATACAAATGTCTAGACTTAAGCAAGCGGGCACATGAAGGATTATGTACGCACATCGCTTTCCCTATATTGGTTTTTGTGCGTACAACAGATGCAGACTGGTAATTTACCGCCATTAGGCCGCTTTACATGTACGGTTCTTTCGACAGTTTTAGCGCATATGGACCAATTCTCTCGGTGTGTAAATGCTCGGGCGCTGGTGCCGGGAAGGTCGCGTGGGTCCCCAGAACGCAATGCAGTCGTCGAGCGCGCGCCGGCCAGCATTTAGCACGTCTGGACTCGCAAGTCCGGCACCTGGGTTTCTGGTGCATTCTAAAATTTGAAGTATTATAATGGCGTGGACGAGAGACATCTTGGAAAACTGTATTAGTATATCTAGAGACCATCCTTGTTTATGGAAGATAAAAAGTGAGGACTATTAAAAAAACTTAAAAACACTGCTTATCAAGAATTAGTGTAATTTTCCAATGGAAACGTTCTTCGTTCCACTTTTTTACCCAAAACCTTCTTTTATTTTGGTTTCCATATTAAAATAGGTATACGTGTATTGCAGCACAAGCTATAGCATGATCTCTAACTTTTTTATAAAAATATATAAATGATAATATTAAATATGTTGTTGAAAATGGAGCGTCGCCCTGAAGTCATCAGCCAGTTACAAATCTAACGCGCCACTCCAAAACTGTGGCCGTTTGTGTTTAGACGTACGGTTTTTGTCGTGTATGCTCCAAACGCACAGAGTTGGAGCGCGCTCTAGAAACGTTAACACATTTCTTGTACGACGTGCCAAGCGCGTACGCTCCAAGCACGCGTATGCACTCTAAATGCTCCAGACGACGCTCCAAAACCGACAGATTGGAACGTAGATGTAAAGCGGCCTATTACCGCATCACCGGACAAGCAATAAATCAGAGCTCGTCTGCTCTTAATTAAATACTATACATATATTGAATGAAGATGGCAGATGATGAGGTGTCAAGTTCGGGGTAAAACAGAAAATTATCAGTCTTATAAACAAGAATAGAGATAGGAGTTTCCAGAATGATTGCAAAGTAGTTTGAAGAGCGATTAGTATGCTCCTCGTACCAGTTGTAATAAATGCGTTAATATTATTTTAGGAAAAGACGTTCTCAAACCTGTGTTATGTGTACGTACCTGCAGAATACAAAAATATAATTTTCTCATAGACGGCGCTGCGTGACGCAAAGGTGCTTGATCTACCGCTAATATTGCGATGGCGCTGATTGTTTCCTCCTACCGATTTGATCCTTACCATCGTGCATGCCTAAACAAAATCGAGTCTCGTCACTAAAGACAATACTGTTCCATTCCTGATCCCAGAGTGACCGTTGTCTGCA